CAGTGGTAGGCGGTTTCCTGCCAAAACTCCCCTGCATGTCCAAGAACCCACTGTGACTCAGCCATTGCAGTCACTGGGAACTCAGCACAGACACCCTTTCTAGCAGGGTATTTCTACTTCTCTTTTTGCACCATATCAAGAGGGGCTCTATTCATCCATGGAGGAAAAAACCTGACAATATGGCCCAATATTTTTGTTGTCTTAAAGTGATGATCTTATTGTAGAAAAACAAGGCTGCTGGAACTTCTTGTGAAACTGTCAGTGACCATGCCTGTAAAACACCTGTCTGCTTGGATTCTTGTTAGATCTTCATGTGAAAGTTCTTAGGATTTCCATTAATAGAGTTTAAATGGCTCTTACCTGCATCTCTTGGTGGCCTGAAGGTGAAGTTTTTATTGCTTTCCTTCTGTGTGAAGAATGACTTTTTTATTTTAAAGAGTGTAAATATGCTGAATGGGTGGGAGATGATGAAGTACTTGGTTACAATGCGTTTTCTGATGTACATACTGTTCCTTCAAAGAGTTAGCATCTTCAGAAAGATGATCCATGCTGGAAGAAGCCATGCCCTTGGCAAAATAACAGCAAGAGCAATGCTGAGTAGTTTCTAGGTCAGCAGCATCTAGGGTCTCACCTGCCCAAGAATACTTGAAGCTGTCAGATGTCATCCCTCTGGATTCATAGCTTTGATACTTCTCTGTCATTTAAGATAACACTTCCTTTAGTCCGTTTTGAACCTGTGCAGATGGTTGCCTCTGTGTGCAAAACATTCTGTATGTGCCAAGCTTTACACTTGGCATTGGCAGTTAGTAAAGCAAATCTGAGAGATTTGCAGTTCCCATCAGCTAAGCTAGATTGGGCTGTTCTGTTTTCCCTTCCTTATCCCGTGCAGTATTTGTTCTGTTGCTTCTTTTTTTCTTCTCTCATTTCTAGCCTGTCTCATCTCCTCCAGCTCACATTCTTATTCCTAATTCTCCTTCTTTTTTCCTTTTTTTTTTTCATCCTGTGTTAGTCTCAGCTGATTCTGTATTGGCTTCTTCCACAATTCTGCTTGGACTCTGTCCCCATCTGACCTTTCTCTGCATGAACAAATTCCAGTGTCCCAGATTTAAAAATTTACTCCGCTCTGCTTTTCTCTGCCTTCCAGCTTGTTGTTTATTAATTGCTTCCCGAACTTCCTGCTTGATACCCTTTTACTCTTCAACACTTCTTTTACTTTCAACATGCTCTCTGTCTTTTACTTTCTTTCTCTGTCTCCACTAACGTATACTTCAGATAGTTTTGGTTTTTGTTCTGAGAATTACCTACCTTCTCCAGTTTTCCATTTAGCATCTGAAGCATATCTGTGGTTCCGTTACTGAACTTCTTTCTGGGAAGCACAGGCTCCTCGTACCTTGACTCATGTCATCAACATTTAAGTGGATTCATTTTTTTCTTGCAAATTGGGGGTTGGACTCGATGATCTCTGGAGGTCCCTTCCAACCCCTATGATTTCCAAAACGACCCACTTCTATCCTCTTTTCCTCAGTGCCCTCCAGTAGGGCACACAACAGTGCTGTGCAGTTCGTTGTGTTTGATGAAAGCCACTACAGAGTTGCTGCTTCTCAGACAATAAATCTTTTGCTGCTCTCACAACTGTGACTTGTGGAGGGTTTGGTATGTTTTGAAATGCTCCAATCTCAAAAGCAAGAGTCAGGGTTTTCACCTAGAGCCCCTGAGGAGAGGATACCCAAGCTGGCACTGGGAAGGAGCAGAGGGCAGAGGTGAGGGATGCAGCGGTTGGCAAAGGACAGTGAGAAGGGAGGGAGCACTGGGAGTGCCTGGCTCCTGGTTGGGGGCCTGAGGGCAAACACTGCCAGAGCCCTTGTAGCTCAGCACTTCTATCAGAAATACAGTGATACAGACTGTGAGCACAGTACATCTGCTTCCACGCAGAAATTCTAATTTCTGAATTTTATTTCACCGAGTGACTCGAATTCTACTTCTCCTCTTCCCCATACACTCCTTTTTTAAGTATATTAGCACTTAAGGAAAATTTCTGGGCCACGTGGGTAGCAGTCCCAGTACCCCACAAGCACAGAGCGGCTGCCGAGGCCCTGCTTTCTGAGAAGAGCTTACCAGAGCTTAACAGGTGAGCAGGCAGAGCCTGGGCTGCACACTGCTGCACCCACCTGCATCCCTGCGAGGCGCAATGATCGCTGCTGTGCTGGGACGGCCCTCATGTCGGCGAGGGAGAGCATCGCTCCGTATCGGCCGTGGTGACTCACCTGCAGCTTCTGCTACCGCTGGGGTGCGTTTCACTTCAGGTTACTTCAGGGCAACATCACTGTCAATATTTCCTTTACTAGAGTCTGGAGCCACAGAGATGAAAATAATTATCTCTGCCAGAGTCATTAAAACTGGCAGCTGGTTCCCAATAGAGATAAAAGAATCAGATTTTGAGTGGCGCTCAGCAGTTCCATTAAACTGCTCACTGTCTTCATAAGAAATAATGAAGTTGTGAAATTCTCAAATATTCAAGCATGCACCTGCCTGCACTTTTCTTCTGAGTGAATGGAAACAGAGCAAAGAAACAGGTTTGGGGGCAATTAACGATGAAATAAAAGGAATTCTGCCAGAAGACTAGCCAGCTCATTTTTAATTTGTGGCACTGTGGCATGTAGCTTTAACTTGGAATGGGCTTCTTTACACCATGACCCTCGATTACATGCACTCTTTTGAACTCACCGTATTGTAAGGTTGCCAGTTTAAAATTCCATGTGGCTTAAAATAATTCAGTAACAGTGCTGCAGTGTTCTGAGCCCCTGGATGACATGTCATGCCTTTCAACCCACAGCTCTGTGATGGCTTGGAAAACTTTCCATCTTGAGCTTCCCTCAATGTCTTCCTCTGTTTTTCTCTTGTATATATGTTGAAGTAGTTTGCAGGGACAGATTTAATAGGAACTGGAACTCAGATTTTCAAAGGAATTAGGAGAAAAACCTTCTCTTGTGCACTGTGCCTGTCAGCTATAACTGAAAGGGCTTTCTGGTGAAATAGGAAAGCCACAATGAAAAGAAAGGGAAACAAAGTTAACCAGAAAAACACTCAAACTGTATTCTGTCTGTTTATATTTGTGTCTCTTGTTCACAGGAAGTTCTGCTTTTATCTTTAACACTATGCAAGTTCCTATAAAAGTCAGTTTAGTTATAATATCGCTCAGTTTCCAAAGAAATCACTTGGATTTGTATTCAAAAAAACTTGCTGGCAAGCCCCCTCTGCTGGATGGAACCATCATGTTTTCATCCCTGCATGCTGAAGACATCTAGTAAAAGCTCATTATTGACAAAATAGTTACAGGCTAAGTTCAGAAGAACATTACTGCCTTTCTATTGCCTGTCATAATGACAGGGTGGAGATTCAAATAAGAGTTGGGGTGGTCACTGCAAATATGTTCAGGTCCTTACATCTGAATGAGTATTCAGTCAGTCTGTCATCTCACTATTTTATCATCTAAATTCTCCTCAACTGCGTCCACTTTCTTCACTCCCATTGCTTTCTCTTATGTATTATTTACATCTTTTGCCAGTGATCTCATTGCATGCAATCAGAGTGTACTTATATAGTATGCCAATACAGGAAATATGCATCCCAGAAGTAGATATGCTTTTCCATAGCAATTCAAACTTTGAAGACCTGCTTTGCTTGTCTCTAAGTGTGACAAACTAAGCTCACTAGGTGAAAAACAATACTAACTGCTGTTTAAACCATGCTTTTCATTTGTGTATGACAAAGCCTTTTGCAGGGGCCATCTTTTTAATTACAGATTGGGAAGCAGGCCCGGCAAGGGAAGACAATCTAGTCACTTGAGTACTAATCAGAACTAAAAAGACATGGATTTAAGCCCTGTTCTAAAACAGACTGGCTGGTGACCTTATTTTTATTAATTAGGCTAAAAGCCAGAAAAGAGGATTGCCACAACACAGAGATAGAATTGTGAAGCTTCTGAGATAAGGCCTTGGACCAGTATGGTCCTCTGCAGTGTACATGGAGAGCTGAGTTTCTCGGAAAGCAGATCCAAAGTAGCCGGCATGCCATGCTAACAGCCAGTAAGGAATTACTGCCTACAGAGGTGTGTGAAACATTTCTCCCTCTTGAGCTCACACACATTAATCAAAGGTTTAGAGAGTTCTGTTTTTCAAAATCAGGTCTTCGAAGAAAGGCAGTCTTTAAAAAATCAAGCAAGCTGAGAGAATGTTGCTGGGGCAGGTGATCAGTATAAGGAAAACTGAGATTTCTGCTCCACTTAGCATGATGACAGTCAAACTTTGAGTCCTCCCCTTTCTGGAAGGTGTCCTAACTGCTAAGCAGAGTTCTCTGCTCAATGAAAGGGAAGGAGGAATATTTGTTAGCCAAGGGAGACTTGGAGCCTAATAGCTTGAGCACTCACCTATGAGTGGGAAATGCTGAATTTCTGGTGTCTCCTCTGAGTCCTGTTAAATACTGTTCTTTAAGCAGTTATTAGATAAAGTACATAAGTGGTTTTTGAAGTTGAGCCAGGACTCAGTGCCTCATCTCTCTCAAATCAATGCCTAAACCTGCAGGCTTAAGGGAAAGTCCCATTCTTTCTGTCTGTAGCTCAGTGGCTCTAGAATGCCTTTTTGAGCACTAAAGTGAATTCACAAGACCATAGAGTGCTTACTTCTATAGGCTCGTGGGAAGGTCATCTCTTCAAAATGAGCTTGACAAGTATGTGCTTGAGTCTCTTGGTGCCAGGAAGGGATCTAAGCCTGAATTCTCAAGTGATCTCACTGGTCAACTACTGGATACAACTGGTGGATCTAAAAGATGATTGAAAGAAAATGTTTCTAATGAAGACACTGAAGGGATGAGGGTTTTTTTCAGTTTGCAAAAATAGTGACAATTGTCCTATAAACATCAAATTGTAGTAAAGAATTGTAGTCAAAGAAAAGCGTAATGCATTTGTGTCTTATGTTAATAGTTTGCATGTAATTGTATTTCAGATGAAAATGTGAGCTAAAGTTTCCTGGAATATACTGTAAGTACCACTCGTATCCTAGTGAGTTTAAATGAGTATTCAGTCTTAGCTACAGTAGCCAATAAATGCTAAAATTAACAGCACGTTTGGCCCAGAAAGAAGTTCTGGGGAAGTTAAAAAACCGAACTTGTGCTTAGAATTTGTATCTAACCTCTGCACAGGACCAAGGCTGCTGCTGAAGTAGAAGTAGTCCTAGTTATGCGTTTGCAACGTTTTGTGAGTGCAGTATTTCCTGTCTGTGAAATATGCAGCTGCACTGCCTCCCAGGTTTTAAGTCATCTGTTTCTTGATAACTGCAGCAGAATGAGACAGATATTTTATTGTAGGGTCTGTGAGCAATGAAGGAAGAAAAGAAAGAAAGAAAAAAAAGACGCAAGAAATACTTCATTTCCAAGCAGAGCATAATCACAGACCGCTCTGTAGTGGGGAGAGGGGAGCTCTCCTTCCTCCTGAGGCATTTGGCCAAGCTTAGACAAAGTTCAGAGCTTTTGTGGTTTGCAATTGCGTTATAGATGTCTCATCACACCTTCACAGGAACCTTGTATTTCCATGATCACAGCTAACCTGCTTCCACAGAGGCCAAACTGCATCAGTTCAAGCTGTAGCACTTGATAAAATCTGGGAAGTGGAGGCAGCAGCTCCCTTCCACCAGAACAGGATAGACAGCCAGGGCTTGCCTGCGTGGAACCTGCCCCTTCCCTTTCTCACCTTCTGAAATGCACAGTCTGCTTACTTATAAGCTGCCACAAGAAGATAACACATTTGAGCTATTAAAATGAGGTGCTGTACATTTAGACACTTGTAGATAGTATAACTGTGAATGAAACACAGCAAATGAAAGCCATGATGGAAACTCATTGTTCAGTACATGCTTGGATGAGAGATGGCTACTGGGAAAAATTAAAGCATTTCTCCTAAAGCATCTGTTGTTTTACACTAATGAAACAACAAAGCAATAATAAATCCTCTCCTACTCATGTACCGGGAATTTCATGCAGCTTAATGCATGATTACAGATCAGAGATTTCAATTTCAAGATAATGTAAATTGCAACCTGCAAAACATGCAAATTCCTTTGAATTTAAGAACAGAAACTTAAGCGTTCCCCTCACTGTAAGAACAACACAGCTCTACCTCTCTCCTGACTTTGCAAGTCTTTGCAATTATTAGTAACACTCCACAGCTGTGTGATAAAGATTACAGACACGCTGGTGTAGCTATAGTTTTAGGGTGGGAAATGCAGTCTTTAGATAGAAATAAACTGTTTTACACATTAATTTTGCAGGGTGAATTTAAAAAATACTCTAATTACTTTCAGTTCCATTTCCTTTGGTTTGAATTTGTATTCCCCATCTGATGTGTCCAGCAAGAATGCAGGATGATACAATTACACTTATAAGAAACAGAAGAGAAAGCAGCTTCAAGCAAAAAGGGCATTCAGTGAACACTGCCACCTGTGAGTAAAATGTGCCACTATTTAAATGCTCACTCCTATGAGTATGAACTTTAGGCTTTCTTAATAAGGACTTTTCTTCCCAGCCTTGATCCTGCAAGTTACTTAAAACCAAGAATGGCTGAGCCAGCCAATGTTTTTTATGATCTCTATATACATTATATATGTTGAATCTAACCCATATACAAATACTTAATTTTACCAGGAGAATTGGAACTGGGAAGTGATTGGGGCCAGCCTGCTCACATTTTAAAAAGTCTGCCCTGAAATATAAGTTCCTTTAATCAGCATGGTTAAGTCTAGTTAACAAAATGGTTTTCCCCATAGTTAACAATGGAGGGGAAGAAAAAAAAATAGGGCCTGGAGACTATTTTTGGCACCCAAAGGAGATGTTCACCCAATTACCTGACATACAGAAGTGAGTGTAAAAGGGACTGCATCAATTAACAGAGTGTGAAAGCCCTACTGACTGCACTCCAGCCTCCTTTGTCCCACTGGTGACTGCTGGGGTCCTCTTGGTCTGAAATGGATCAAAACCCCTGAATTCCCAGCAAAGGGAGGGTCAGAGGCACCAGAATGCAAATAAAGCAGGGCCTCTGTCAAAGCATAGGTTAAAACAGGAGAACACAATTCGCCCTCTGCTTTAACGTTTATGTAAACAATGAAAGTGAAAATACCTTATCTCCAAGGGAGGTCTATTTGCTAGTAATTGCTGTATTGTGTTTTAAAAGAATCAAGATACAAGTATAGCCAAAATACAGAGATATATGTGGACATGAAAAGAAACCAGTCTGCACCTTTCACTTTCACCCTGCACATTTCTCGTAAATGACCCTGTAACTGGTAAGGAAGCCTTCACAATCTGATGAACTTTGCCTTGCAAATCCAGGGCTGTCTGCTGTGCTTTTCTGAAGTGTCTCCTGCCTGAGCTTCATACCAGCTCAAGCTGTAGCAGGGCTACAGTTCTTCAAATGTTCCTCAACAATATTTGTAATTATTTGGATAGAAATACTTGATGTTTGAACTATCAAAACTCCAAAGGTGCAAGTAAAAACATACTCACATCTTCATGCCTGCTCTGCAGTCACTTCATGCTGTGTGACATTTCCAGATACCATTTACATGAGCTGATGTTTCTTATTTGGCTCTTAAAGTATTGACAGTTTCTATTTGGAGTAAACAAGCACTGTTAGATTTTGCAACATAATTCACTACTGCAAGTGTGGTTTTGTGGGCTCCTCAGGTTTTGAAAATAATGCATCCTGATTTTGCCTTTATCATCTTTTCGTGACAAGCTGAAAGCTTACTAATTTACTGGCTTCAATATATTTGAATTCCTGAACAATCATCTTCTGATTTCTCATCGTCTTTGAGTTTCAAGTCCCAGTTTTGTTATTCAGTTTAGAAGGCTGCTAGATGACAAGCTGCCTTTAGCTTCATAGAAAACCAGTGCAGACTTGTTGCATGGAGATGCTCTGATCTCAGAGCAAAATTTGCTTATTTAAGGAAAGTCACCATGTTTAGTTACTTAGATAATAACTCCATGACTAAAAAAAAATGTTTCATTTATACTCCAAGATGGGGATACAACTACAAAATATTGGCTAAAACACATAGAATAGTGAGGGATATTCACTTTTTCTACAAATTTTCAGCGACCAGAAAGCATGTAATACACAGCTGACTGCTCTGCTTGGCTGTGTGAGCTGGGGTATTGTACAGTCACACTAATTATGCTCCATACTGGACTGTAACTTCACAGCCTCACTGGCCTGTATATATTTTTCTAGTATTTGCCTTATATGCTTTGAAAATTCTGGAAATAAAGTGCTGCTCTTCTGGTTGCTTTTCTTTAGGAAGATGATTCTGTTCTCACTCTCAGTGGATAAGCTGGATGCTGGCAGTAATGGCAGAACATTTACAGAAGGACTGCAGCTGTCAAGGTAGGACACTGTGATCTGTATTCACCTGCAGTGCTGATGGGCTCTCCAGTCTTGTTAAGCTTCTCCTGAAGATCCAATATTTTTATGAAGTGCAATGAAGTCAAAAAGTCTGAACTACTGAGGTCTTCCTAGAACTGGCTTCCCTTCAGACTGTACCAACGCCTAACACATTGGATGTCAGGCATATTTCCTGTTTCAAAAAGTTGTTTTTATGTTAATGCAACAGTTTAAGTCCATCTGGAAGCCAGCTTTTCAGATTATTTCTAAGGTGGCAAGTAGTACTTGTCAACAGTAAGATTAAGATTAATTCCTTCTTTGTTCTTTAAACATGTCAGGATCCTTTTCCACAGAACATGGATGTGTTTCAGTTACTGACCAGAGCATTTCTAGCATGGAAAGGCACAAAGAGGTGACGCCCACTTCTGCAGAACATGACAGGAGCTCTCTAAACATTTCCTATAAGAATTCTTTGTAACTGAAATGAGTCAGCTAAACTGGAGAACTTTGCAATGTTTTCATTGCCATTAGGCAATGCATGGTGACAGGAACTGGTTATGTCTACACGACGGCCAGAGCAATTAAAGTATTCCTCATGTTAAGGCTGGCTGTATGAGCTAAGGTTTCTACCCTCTCTGCAGAGGTTCTTAAGCCAAATGCTCTTCCCCTCTGCCATACACGAGGTGCAATCCTCCACTGACTCCAAAAAGGACAAGCACACGTGTAGCACCTGTACTAGGTTCTCCAAAAAGAGCACAGGAGGGCACAATACCAAGGCTTTACTTGATAGCACTTGCCACAGAAGTTATTTCATTTTTACCTTGGAGTGACTTCCACACAGTTTTGGCAGGACATCGATATGGGAGAGCCCACACTGTTGTTGTTGCTATTAGCAGTGTTTTGATGACAGCTCATGAATGAAGGATCTCATTGCCTTGTCCAAGTCACCCCTGAAGTGCCGCTTACTCAGAGCTACCTGCTAACTGCAGTTTGGCAGCTGGAGTCTTCCTGTGTCAGCAGATGACTTGCCTGTCTCCAGGTCATTTGAAATCAGTGGTGAAACATACTTTAGCATCTGTATGACAGTCCAGTCATACCCAAAGCATAAAAGCATAAATACATGCAGCAGGCGTTTGAGTTAGGGAGGGAAATATCTCTCATTATCAATAGGTTAATTCCAACTCATTCATCTGTTAAAGTCATTAATTTAAGTTCAGTGATGATGAGATAGCCTAAAAAAGCCCCGAATGATGAGGGTGTTTCTCCGGGCTTCACAGAGCAGTGTGTCAGCATATCCACTCTGCACCTTTATGCGGTACAAAACAAACACCAGGAAGCCACAGAATGTTATAATCCTGGGATTGTCTCATATAGCTTTGTGTGCAGTATAAGAAAATAACATCAGTTTAGGCAGATCTCTTAAAGGTGAAGCCTGACTGCTCCTTGTCTGTGCTAGAAGTCTTGTTAGTGACTTCTCAGTAGTAGGAAAGAGACACTGAGAAAATGAAAGAAACTTTTCTGTAGACATTAATCAATGGACTAGAACAGAGCTCTTTAAAACTTTTTCAGGTAGGATGGGAGACTCTAAAATATCAGAGACCTGGCACCTTCTGTATTGTAGACTATCTTATCTATGTGTAGTCTGACCTTTTTCTTGCTCATGCTGTGCCAGCACCTCTCATGTGCATTTCAGCGTGAGGAGTAATGTCCTTGAAGACTACTTCTTTAGAAAGCACATGTTGTAGCAGCAGCCAGCAGACTGAGTCCTTTTTAACCCACACAAACCAAAACTCTGTCTCATCCTGCACACCCTCAGAATATGCAATCAAATTTAATCCAGTGTAATTTACAGCCTGCCAGCCACCAACTCAGAGCCTTTTCCAGCAGCGTGATGAGCTTCCTCCACTGCCACTGAGTGTGATTGCTGTGGAATCACCTCCAGAAAACACTGCCTGCTTAGGCAACAGGCGTTCCTCCTGCAGCTCAGAACATGTCTCTGTGCTGAGCCAGCTCTTCGTAGGAACTTTGCACACAGTGCTGCGTAACTTTGCTTTTTACTGAAAGGAACGGATTTTCTGGTTTTGGAAAACAAATCCATTACTCGGTGTATCTTGGCAGTACTGCCCTTCTTAGAACAGTTTCTCTAAGGAAAATCTTTTAAAAGGGACCTCATGGTCTCTCCTACTTATTACACTCTTGTAGAGGTCTTGTCTTCATCCGTAAAATTAATGGCTTAATAAGCATTAGAACCTCCTATTATATGGTAGCAAATAGGAATACAATACTTTTATCAATATTTGGCACAATTATTTTTTTTATGTGAAACTAAAATATTGATGCTGTCAAGTGACTGTAGCTTAGGGGCATAAATTACAAACATTCTTCCCCAGCGAGCCCAGCTCAAATTCTGCATTCATATACAGTAACCATCTAATGTCTTTCTGTTCCTGTAAGCCATATGATTTGATTGCCAGATTACATGATTCTGTATTGAAATGGCTGTACTCGGACGGCAGTGTTTTTATTGTTATTACTAAGATTATCTTTTGTTCTTACTGTAAATGGTAACAAAACAATAACTGCTTCCTTACGCTATAAAAGGAATAAAGACCCACTTACAGAACGTCTCCAAACAGAAAATGTCCCCAGAGAAAAGACATTTGGAATAAATAATTCATGGAACAGTGGGAGAGTAGGGGAAAAAAAGGTCATTTGCTGTATTCTGGTACTTCAAACTGTTTGTTTTAAACAGAGGCTGTTTTAATGGAGAGCAAGATGTGCTTTAAGGAAGAACAGCCGTAGGGAAGTCAGTTCTCTCTGCATTTGTACCCACACTGCATGTTTTATCAGCAGCACAGAACTCTCCAAACTGAGGGAACAGTCCCCGAGATCTGCCCCATTCTTTTGCTTTTCTGTGGTTTATTTCCTCCCGTTAGCGTCGTTCTCGGCTTGCTTTCTAAATGAGACCTCAACCCGCCCACCCAAAGGAAACCACAGCATCTCAGGATTTCACATCGAAGCCAAGCAGCCCCGCCCGCCTGTGCTATCAGCAGAGGGATGGAATTCAAGGCTCCTGGCGTTCGGCTGCCCGCGCTGTCTGTGCGTCACATCACAAAGCCAGGGGCATCCTAAAGGCAGCCCGGAGAAAATCAGCATGCGAAAACGCCTTTTAAAAGCGCTTCAGTGAGGTTACAGACGGCAGAAAACAGCCTTTCTCCACCCAAGCCCCCGACCCAGCATTTACACGAGCGATTGCTTTGCTGCCGTTTCATTTCCCGGCACTCAGGGAACTCGAGGCGCGGAAGGAACCCAACCCGATAAGCCGCCCCAGCAGCGCGTGGCGGCTCTGCGTAGGGCGGCCCGGGGCGTCACGTGACACAGCGCTCACGCCATTTGCAGCGGAGCCGCGCGCGCAGCCGCAGTGCTGCCTTCCGGCGGCGCGGCGCTTTTTCCCGCCCTTCTTCTCTCGGCGGTGCCATGGCGGGGGAGGCGCCGTGCCCGCCGCTGAAGGTGCTGGCTGCGCAGCTGCGGGGCGCGGCGCGCGACGCCGGCGGGACGTGGCGGCTGGACCGGACGGCGGCGGGCCGCGCGCCGCTGTGCGTGCGGGCCGTGTGGATGCAGGGCACCGTGCTGCAGGTGGAGCGCGGAGGCGGCGGCGGCTCGGCACGGCTGCGGGACGGCAGCGGCCCCTTCACCGTGCTGGGGGTGGAGGACGTGCCCCGCGGGCGGCCGTGCCTCGACGCAGGTAGCGCTTCCGCGGGCGCCTCGGTTCTCCTCCCGCTCGTAAAATGAAGACGTAGGGGTTAGCTGAATTTCTTCCGTGTTCTTGTAGGGAAGTACGTGATGGTGATGGGAGTGGTGCGGTCCTGCAGCCCCGAGCCGGTGCTCCGAGCAATAAAGATGACGGATCTTTCCGAAAACCCGGTGCATGAGGAGATGTGGAGCCTGGAGGTGGAGGAGCTGCACAGAGTCATCCCCTGAGCTCTGCCTGGAAGATTTGAAGTGTAATTTGTTTCTGTTTGTTTTTATGCGGAGCGTTGAGCCGTTCTCAATGCTCACGATTTCAAACCTGTTACCTGCGGAATGTACAGGAGGGAGAAGTCAGGCTCAGAGTTTGCTTCTTTCCTTCTGAAATTAAGCACTACCTCTTAAATAGATCTTTAAGAGAGATCTTTACAGACTAAGGGCTGGATTTTAGAGGGATGCAATTCCATCCTTGAGTTTTAATATTCCAGACCAGGCCCTGTTGGGTGCAGTTGTACAATGGAAGTCCTTTGTTGTGAGGCTTTGCTGATGGAAATGCCAAAGCGTGTGTACAGGATTTTGACACAATTTTGTACTTTGGGTTAGTGCTGGGGAGGATTCTCTTGTGGAATACTGCAGTCATTAAAAAAAATATATCTGTGTGGTCACGTACTGGCTGGCAACCTTTTTCTTTTATCCAGTGATAGATGCTTTTCTATTTAAACACTTCTCAGGTCAGAAGCCTGAAACTTGTAAGTGAGCTCATCTTATGCTTTCTAACTAGGCAGTAAAATCCTGGAAGCAGGAGCAAAAACTCTGTATCATAGTGCTTGATCTCACTAAAAACATACAGATGCTAGTTCTAGCTCCCTGGGAAGCCTTCCATATTTCATCATTATGAAGTTATGAATGTTGCTTGGCTGTTGATCAGAGATCCACCTCTTAACTGAAAAAGTGCTTCAAGAAGATTTGCATTGACATTAGTAGACACTTAGTAACTTCAGGTTTTGAAGCCAAGACAGGATGTTCTTCTAACGGTTCACTTTAGAAGTGCTTTCCTGGGAACTCAAAGCAAAAGAAGCTGAACGTTGAACTTCTGAAGAAGGAGCTTGTAGTGATCGCTGTGACTCCAGCTGAGTTTGCTTGCAGGTGGAGGGAAAGCTGTGCTGGCTGCTGCAGGGTGTCTTTGTGAGGGAGCTGTTTGGTGCTGCAGGGCCTTGTTGAGTACTGTGAATTTTCCCTTTTTCGCATCTTGTGTCTCAAGTTGAGCAGTAAACTGGGGGTGTGTGCAGGGCTGTGTTGCTGTTGTGTGGCAGTGTACATAGAGGAGTTACACGACTCCTCTAGCCCTGCCTTGCAGAGCTGGGGCTCAGAGCTGGGATGTTGTTCTAGAGCTTGGTTGTTGGGACCCTGAGGAGGAGATTCCTGGAAGTGCACACTGCATTAGCAGCCGTAACTGAAACAAATCTGAGCTTGCCTGAATGCTGAGGAACTCACCTGGCCAAAATGTGAGGCCGTGTGCTTTTTGAATTTTCTCAGCCTGGGATAAATGCTCAAAACATCAACTTTGCTACCAAGTTTTGGGGCGTAAGAATTTTGTGCTCTGTGCAGAATTATCTGTGAACTTGTGCAGCTGGAAATGCTAAAGGTGTGCAGTAGGTACCAAGTAGGTTGCTCTGAAAGTAATGCCTCCTATTTATTTCCATGGAAGCTACGACAGAGCACAACAACACCTTCCGAAAGAGCAAATTCTTAGCTACAAAACACTGGTTTTCAATATGGTCACCACCATCAGTCAGTTCACTTGGATGAGCTGATAGAGGTGCTCCTCATTTTGTGGCATGACAGCTGTCCAGAATATGGCTTGTCTTTCACACCTCTGTCACCACTACTGAAACACGTCACCCATTGCCTCACTGTGCAGCTGAAAACCAATCTTGAGAGGCCTAATTTGAGAAATAGTAAAGGATCTTGTGTTTAAGGCTCAGTGCTTTTATCACCTGTGGCCCTCACCAGCTGTGCAATTGCTAAGTGCAAATGTAAGTGCATTCCAGATTGCAGTTATGAGATGATGTGGTGATGATACTAAATTTTACTCAGTTCTTACCATTGCAATGCCGTAAATTATGTTCTGGCTTTGATGAAATGAGGGTTTATTTACTCAACAGTTTATGTATGATAAATAGGTACAGCCACGTCAGCATCATGTGCTCTGGCTTCAGCTCTAAGCAGAGCATGAGGATGTTCATAAAGTCCATGCAAGCTGTACCAAACTAACTCTGAAAAACCAATTAATGTTAGTGCCTAAAAGCAGCATACCCATGTGAGCCCAGCTGCTTGTTTGGTCTCTGTGAACAACTGTGGGAGCCATTTCAGCTCCATTCTAACTCCACAGCAGTACAACTTTATAACTAATCAATAAAAATGTTAATAAACATTTAACTTCATTTAACCTCATTTTGATGCAGGAATACATTTCATGGTTTGGTTTCTGACTTCTGAGAATGGATTCTAAAGACACGCAGGGAGAATATGAAACTGGTAAGCAGTCACAGAGTTTTTCCTCTTCTAACAATATCTACGTTGATAAGGGAAAAATCAACCAGTATTAAAACGAGACAATGACAAGTGCTTTTTTTTCTGTGTAGTTTTTTGGGTTGATTTTTTTTTTTTTTTTTTTTTTTGGCTGTTTTATTTCTGTCTTAGGCCTCTTGTGGGCTGGGGCACTTCCCTGGTAAGAGGTCAGTTTCTCCAGAATGCATTGAACAGCTTGGTAGCAGTTCTGGAGAAAAAGTCAGCAACATCCCTGCATGGGTTGAAATCTGATGTGCTGCTTTCACAAAGAAGCTGACTTGTACTTAACCTCACCTGGAAAAAGTCTGTCATCTTTTAAGTGTATTCATGCTTTTGAAGAAGCAATTTTGTTACTGACAAGGATTTTTTTTATGTTTTTAGGTAGCTGATGTTGTGGTGTCTGGTATCTTCTGATAGATTTTGATTTCCTGTCGTACTGATGACTGTGGCCACAGGTGTTTCTGTGTGAAAAGCTGTCATTTTATACTAGGTGGGCTTCCTTACATTCATCATCAGAACCCTAACGCATCAGCACTGACTGCTTTCCCTACTATTCCCTACTATTGCTGTGCAGATAGCTGTTTTATTTTGAATGCTAAAAAGGTTCTTCCTTCTTCAGGGCTGGAATTTACCATTCAGGAAAGTCTCAAGCTGAAAGGGAGATAAAATCCAGTTAAATTTTGGTAAGTACTTACAAGGATGGAAATCAACAAGTAACAAGTAATGCAATCTGTTCTTGCACTGAGCAGTGGGGAATCTCTTAATGGAAAAATAGGATCAGATTTATTTACGTTGCTATCAAAAAGCTGTGTAAAACATAGTTCAGCATCTTTAGTTACAAATTTGTCTTAAATAAACTGAACTAAAGATGTAAGGTTCTTTCTTCATGTCTAATTTAGGAGGAAAAGAAGAGCATTATTGCTCAAGTTCAGGGCATCTGGATCAGAACTGTGAAGACTACTGGTGAAGCACTTTTGACAGGGAGGAATTTTTAGAAAAATACGGATATCAGTGACTGAGATTCTCCCTTGTTCTCATGCTCTTAGGTGGCTGTTAAGAGCTGTGACTAACCCAGCCCTTAAGCCTCATGCACTGTGTCCAACCTGACTCTTCCTTTTTGTAGTTTGGTCTCTTATACTTCCTTCTCTTTAGTGTGTTTACATATTTAAAGACTTAACTCATGTCTTTTCTCTGCTTTTTAGTGCTTTCCCCACAGAGACCTCATTTGGTCTAAAAAATGTGTCCAAAAATGATGCATAAAACAAGCTGAATAGAGAATTATTTCTCCTCTTAAATGTGTTTGCTTGTATGTGCATTTCAGTTCTAGTAGCATTTTGTTGGTAACTAAGCCTGTAATCCCCAGCAATTGCAGTGGGAAAATGTAAAGCAGCAGCACTGCCTGGCTTCAGTCTTCTGGCTGCCCAGCCATCTGCGTCTGTTTAACACAGCAGCAACTGAATGCTCAACGTTCAGGTTTCAACAAAATTTGGCTCTGCATTTCATATTCTTATGTTGATGAGTTCGTATCAGCTTTGAGAGCACTTTCTGCCTGGAAGTTACTACCTGGATTGCAATGTCCCAGCCACCTACTGTTGGCACCCAGGGTAAAGGCAGTAAATGAGGCAGGTAATGCCACCTGGTGTTCATTAGCACACATGGGAGTACATGTGTGTGTATTAGTGCTTGTTTTCTGGGTCACTTTTGCCATTATATAACAATCTGTAGTCTGTAAATAGCATAGTTCAAAGAAGGTACTGTTTGCAGGATAGCCAGTGGGGGCTGTTTTGTTTTGTGGTGTTTGTTTTTAAAAGCATCACTGTCCTTTTCATCTTTGCGTTTTTAGGGAGATTCCTAGAAGCAACTATCCAGGTGAGTTAAAATGCCTACAATAATGATCTTGAAATTCTAAGGTAGGTGTAAAGGTGACTGCAATATTTTCTTTTATTGAAGTTATCTATGGCTGTGAGTCCAGATACTCAGAGGAAGAGAAGTTGGAACAAAATGGTGTCTGAGAAGTGTAACTCCTGAGGAAGTTGCTTGATATACTACTACTTCCTTCTACAAAGTAGGAGGAAATAAGATAAGCCTTTAAGAGAGTATTGTTCAGGTTATACTGTGCTTCTGAGCAAGCAGCAGAAAAGATAAATCAGATGGAAAGTGAGCAAGAAGCAATGCAGGAGTACGATTTTATTCATTTCATACTCAGAATTATTTATTTTCTTATGTGATCTTGAATGAGATAAGTAAGTACTGGAAGAAATGCAGTCAGGATATTCAGAATGAAAAGAAGTGAAACTCACTGTTGAGGAAGAATTTCCACAGGGACAAAATTTAGGTTGCACAAATAAAAGTTGGTGCTAAAATGGAGGCATCCCTTGGGTTACCTGATCTGCATCAGGCACCTGAGCACTGGGAGCACAGAGGGAGCTGCGTCGGTGTGCAGGGTGCAAGCACACGTCTGTGCTGAGACTGGCATCACACCTCAGCTGAACTGAAAAGGAAATTTAGGGTTCTGTGTCCCTTCCCTTCTGCTTTCTCCCCACCAAGTCTCCCTTGTTACACTCACAAACCTTGCTCTCTTCCTGATTCTGAGGCTTTTATTTGTATTTTTTTTAATCTAAAGTAGCTTATTGAAGAGTGCTGCGAAGTTGTGTTGTAACTTGGCAGATCTCAGGGAGCCTCATTTATTTTTGGTGATACAACAACTGTTGTGTTTGGGCTTTTTCCCCATCTGAGTTGTTATTCTAATTAATGATAAAGTTGTCAGCAGTGAAATTCTGTGTTGAGTCGGGACATTTGAATGCTCTGCCCTCTGGTGGGCACAGCTAGACCTAAAACTACAAAGCAGTTCCTAAGATGAGAATGTGCTTCTTAAGTAACTCTGTAGGGACTTTTTCCTTAGCTGTCATTGGACGTAGCTTCGGGTTCTGCATGAGAGTGCATTTGCTCACCTGGGAAAATGAGATTTGTGTAATTGTCAGTGTAGTGTGAATTCTTCAGATCTGCTGTGTGAAGTTGTTGGAGGAAAATGTGGACTGCTCTGAATAACATCAGTTTCTCCGCATTGCTGCGGAGACTGGCTTCAGGGCAGGTAAGACTGCTCTGGGCAAGGGAGTTAAGCCAAAAAAGGCCGTCCAAAAAGCTCTTTTTAGAGCTGTTTTTGAACCAGCAAAAGCACGGTGCTGGTGCTGGGGGTGGCAGCAGCTGGCAGCTGGTGGGCGGGCTGCTGAGACAGCAGGGGTGGAGCCAGTACCGCCCACTCTTATCTCTTATCTCTGTGATTAACCTTGACCCTTTTCTGTGAGGCTATAACAGCCCCTGGGGAGGGCGAGAGCTACCTGGTGAAAAAAGGGTGTTGCTGCCCACTACTAACTGCTAACGAGGAGTACTGGCAGTGTGTGAGCACAGCCCTGCTGCCCATTGCCGCACTCGTAGGTGAGGAAGGTTGGTCTTGTGCAGGACACATAATTGTTCTTGTCCTTGTTCAGGTGACCGCTCTCCCACTCGCTGACCCAGTGACTGTAAGTTCAAACATGGTCTCTACCAGGCGTCAGGCATGCTCCAACAAGTCTGTGGCGACCCAGACAGAGGGACTGCCCAGAACTGCAGCGGTTCAAGTCTCTGGCTGCAGGGAGTGCCTGAGCCTGCTGCTGCCGGGGGACAATGGGAGGGATGCCACCTGCGTGAGGTGCGAACAGTTGGATGAGCTGCTCAGCCTTGTGGTAGAGCTTAGGGAGGAGGTGGAGCGGTTAAGATCCATTAGGGACTGCGAGAGGGAGATAGACTGGTGGTGTAACTCTCTGCGAGAAACAAGCAGAGATTGCAACCCCCAGCCTGTAGTGGATTCTCTGCCTTACCGTAGTAAAACTGAGAGAGCTGACTTGGGAGGAGAAGAGGAATGGCAGCAGGTCCCACCTCAGCGATGCAGGCGGCGCCCTCCCCCACCTACCTCGGTTCCTCAGGTGCCCCTAAGTAATAGGTTTGAAACCCTGCAACTGGAGGGTGAGGAGGCTGAGAACAAGGTGGTGGAACAGCCTCTGAGCTTCGCTAAGGAGAAGCGGTCGGCTCCACGCTTGAAGACCGCCTCTTCTGGTAAAGAAAGGAGGGTGACAGTTGTAGGAGACTCCCTTCTAAAAGGAACTGAGGGCCCGATATGTCGTCCTGACCCCACCCGGAGGGAAGTGTGCTGCCTTCCTGGGGCACGGGTCAGGGACATCTCTAGAAAGCTGCCTGGGCTTATTCGCCCGTCTGACTACTACCCCTTATTGGTAGTTCAGGTTGGCAGTGATGATACTGCCAAGAGAAGCCTAAGGGCAATCAAAAATGACTTCAAGGGTCTGGGGAGGGTACTGGATGGTGCAGGAATGCAAGTGGTCTTCTCTTCTATCCCTTCAGTGGCGGGGAAGGACGCTGAGAGGATCAAAAAAGCCCTCCTCATCAATAAATGGCTTAGAGGATGGTGCAGGCAGAAAAACTTTGGTTTTTTTGACCATGGGGCAACTTACTCAGCTCCTGGCATGACGGCTGCAGATGGAGCTCAACTGTCTACAAGGGGTAAAAGGATCCTAGCCCAGGAGCTGGCAGGCCTCATTGAAAGGTCTTTAAACTAGGTAAGAAGGGGGAAGGGGACAAAATGAGGACTGCTGAGGCTCAGGTAGTTCAAAGTTCAAAAGTGAACTTGATGGGTGATGAGAGTGGAGTTGAAAGGGATGGAGTGTGGCAGGGGAACGCTGCCTCCCTTAAGTGTCTATATACTAATGCGCGCAGTATGGGAAATAAACAGGAAGAGTTGGAGATCTGCGTGCGGTCACATGGCTGTGATCTCATTGCGATCACAGAGACGTGGTGGGACAGCTTGCATGACTGGAATGTTGTCATGGAGGGCTGTGTGCTTTTTAGGAAAGATCAGCTGGTGAGGCGGGGTGGTGGAGTTGGTCTTTATGTAAGAGAGCAGCTTGAATGTATTGAACTCCACCTGGGGGAGAGTGGTGTAGCAGTGGAGAGCTTGTGGGTAAGAATCAAGGGGCGGGCTGGTATGGCTGACACCGTTATGGGTGTGTGCTACAGGCCCCCTGATCAGGAGGAGGAGGTTGATGAGGCCTTCCACAAACAGTTGGAAGCAGCGTCACGATCCCAGGCGCTGGTGCTTATGGGGGACTTCAATTATCCAGATATTTGCTGGAAAAGCAATATGGCCAGGCATGCGCGGTCCAGACGGTTCCTGCAATCTGTTGAAGACAACTTCCTGGTGCAGGTGGTTGAGGAATTGACAAGGAGAGGGGTACTGCTGGACCTTATTCTCACTAACAGAGAAGGGCTTGTCAGGGAAGTAAAGGTCGGGGGCAGCTTGGGTTGTAGTGACCACGAGATGGTGGAGTTCAAGATCCTGAGTGGAAGAAGTCAAGCAAAAAGTAGGATTGCTATCCTGGACTTTAGGCGAGCCAACTTCGATCTCTTCCAGGGCCTACTTGGAGCTGTCTCATGAGCTAGGGTGTTCGAAGGCAAGGGGGCCTGTGAGAGCTGGTTGGCATTTAAGCAGCTCTTCTTCCAAGCTCAGGATCGGTGCGTCCCTGTGAGGAAGAAATCGGGAAAGGGTGGCAGGAGACCTGTGTGGATGAGCAAGGAGCTCGTGCACAAACTCAAAGGAAAGAAGAAGGCCCATGAAATGTGGAAAAAGGGTCTGACTACTTGGGAAGAATACAGGAATGTTGTCAAGGTCTGCCGGGATGCGACAAGGAAGGCTAAAGCCTGCCTAGAATTAAATCTGGCAAAGGGGATAAAGGATAATAAAAAAGGTTTTTTCAAGTACATTAACAGTAAAAGGAAGACTAGGGAGAATGTGGCTCCCCTGCTAAGTGACGGAGGTGTTCTGGTAACGGGGGATGCTGAGAAGACGGAGATACTGAATGCCTTCTTTGCTTCTGTTTTCAGTGAAAAAGCTCCCCCTCGGGAATCTGAGACCCTGGAGGTGAGTGAGAGGATCTGGGGAATGGAAGACCTCCCTTCTGTCAGGGAAGAGGTGGTTCAGGAGCACCTAGGCAACACCAATGTTCACAAATCCATGGGACCCAATGGGATTCATCCACGGGTGCTGAGGGAACTGGCAGAGGTGATTGCTGAACTGCTTTCTGTCATCTTTGAGAAGTCTTGGAGGACGGGGGAGGTGCCTGAAGACTGGAAGATAGCCAACGTCACCCCGGTCTTCAAAAAAGGCAAGAAGGAAGACCCAGGCAATTATAGGCCAGTCAGCCTCACCTCTGTCCCTGGAAAGGTGATGGAACAGCTTGTATTGGACGTCATCTCCAGACAGCTGGAAGAAGAGGAGGTTATCAGGAGTAGTCAGCACGGGTTCATAAGGGGGAGGTCGTGCTTGACCAACCTGGTAGCCTTCTATGATGTTGTCTCTGGCTGGGTGGATAGGGGGAGAGCAGTGGATGTAGTCTACCTTGATTTCAGCAAGGCATTTGATACTGTCCCCCACGACATCCTTATAACAAAGCTGAGGAAGTGTGGGATAGATGAGTGGACAGTGAGGTGGGTTGAGAACTGGCTGACTGACAGAGCACAGAGGGTTGTTGTTGGTGGTGCAGAGTCCGGTTGGAGGCCTGTAAGCAGCGGTGTTCCTCAGGGGTCGGTGCTGGGTCCGGTCTTGTTCAACATCTTCATCAATGACCTTGATGAGGGGATAATGGCCACCCTCAGCAAGTTTGCTGATGGTACAAAGTTGGGAGGATTGGCTGACAGCCTGAAGGCTGTGCTGCCATTCAGCAAGACCTGGACAGGCTGGAGAGCTGGGCAGAAAAAAACCAGATGAGATTTAACAAAAGCAAGTGTAGAGTCTTGCATCTAGGGAGGAATAATTCCATGCACCAGTACAGGTTGGGGGATGACCTGCTGGAGGGGAGCCCTGCGGAAAGGGACCTGGGTGTCCTGGTGGATGACAGGTTGGCCATGAGCCAGCAGTGTGCCCATGTGGCCAAAAAGGCCAATGGCTTACTGGGGTGCATTAAAAAGAGCGTGGCCAGCAGGTCGAAGGAGGTGATCCTCCCCCTCTACTCTGCCCTGGTAAGACCTCATCTGGAGCACTGCGTCCAGTTCTGGGCTCCCCAGTACAAAAAAGACAGGGATCTCTTGGAAAGAGTCCAGCGGAGGGCCACGAAGATGGTGAAGGGCCTGGAGCATCTCTGCTATGAGGAAAGGCTGAGTGATCTGGGTCTGTTCAGCCTGGAGAAAAGGAGACTGAGAGGGGACCTGATCCAGGTCTATAAATATCTAAGGTGTGGGGGGCAGAATGGCGAGGCCAGACTGTTTTCAGTGGTGAGTGGAGACAGGACAAGGGGAAACGGCTGGAAACTGCAGCATAAGAAGTCCCGCACAAATGTGCGAAGGAACTTCCTTACAGTGAGGTGACGGAACAGGCTGCCCAGGGAGGTGGTGGAGTCTCCTTCTCTGGAGATGTTCAAGACCTGCCTGGATGCCGACCTGTGCGACCTGCTGTAGGGAACCTGCTTTGGCAGGGGGGTTGGACTCGATGATCTCTGGAGGTCCCTTCCAACCCCTACAATTCTGTGATTCTGTGAGTACTGTATATAAGGAAGTACCTTATGCTCTTCATAAACAAGACATGTTTCTGTCTCATCAATGTTAAGAGATTAAAAACAGTTTCCTTTTTCTGTGGATTTGTATTGCTTGTTACAGGATTCTGCTGGGTTGGTGGCTGCTGGCACAGTAAATGCTTGGCTTAACTTTGTTCTGTGTGACAGATCAGAATTGTGCATTATTAGATGTGGGAATGGGCTGGAAAGAGGAAGTGAGGGGAGTATTTATCTCTGTTCTCATGAGTTAAACAGCAAGAAGGCTTTACAAACAAACAAACAAAACAAAAACAATTGAGGGTCCCTTTAATTGCAGATGGTTTTGAACAATGAGATGTGAAAGGTTTTTGTTGCACTTCATCCAGATAAGGTTCCAATTAAAAACTGCTGATGCCAAATGTTAGCAAAACCACTGAGGAACAGCATTTCCTGCGATTACTTCTGGTTGGTTTTGATCCAGCATTTTTTAGGATTCAGTATAAAATCAGCAACTTTATTATTTTTTTTAATTGTTAATTTCCTTACATGGCATCTCAGTGTTTAGAAGGCCTTTAAGCAAACATAAACTGACTTTAAAAGATGGTATCAGTATCACTGAAAAGATCTGCAGCTTTTGCAGGTGCAAAAATTACTCAGGTATCATAGAGTAGCTTTGTTGGAAGGGACCTCAAGGCTCATCAGGTTCCAAACCCCTCATGCAGGGCCACCAGCCTCCCCATTTAATACCAGCCCAGGCTGCCCAGGCCCCATCCAACCTGGCCTTGAAACCACAAGGCATCCACAGCCTCTCTGGGCAGCTGTTCCAGCACCTCACCACTCCCTTGGTAATGAGCTTCCCTGAACAGATATGTCAGCAGTTCTTGGTCAGGATGCATGCCTACTTCTAGATATCAGGAAATGGTAAACAGTAATATTTCTGGAGACTATAGTTACTTTCCTGTCACTTACTTTTTTCTTCCAAGTTTTTTTCTTTCTGTCCTAGGAGAATGGTGTTAGTTGTATAATTCAGTTCTGTCTTCCCTGAAATTCATGATGTCATGCATTAGCTTCCATAATTATCCTTAACCTGCTGCACTGCACAAATCGCTGTGTATTTGTTACCTGCAGCTGGTTAATTTGGAAAAGAGGAGAGATTACAGTGATGTGTTACTGTACTAAAAGGGACAGTCAGTGTAGGGAGACTGCTGTGCAGGTTGTGGCCTAATGTTCGTGTTCTGTATCAATTTCCAGCAAGAAGGATGCACGTCATTGATGAGGACCTCCTCCTAGGAACAAAGAACCAGGAAAAGAAAGCAATCAAGGAAAAAAAGTGAGTGTGAACCAGAACAGAAATGGAGAAAGACTGAAGAGGGGAAAAAAGTAGAAAACCTAAGAAAGCCAAAAAGCCTGAAGATAAACATCAAAGGTGCTACAAGTAAGCAAGGGTTCCAGCATCATCATCAATTCTTTTCTGAGTGTTTCTCATGTCTTCCTCTTGTTCCTTGTTTCTAACTTAGCTATAGAATGTGATCTGCATGGGGGCTCTGTCATTAGGTTGATCAAGCGAGGATAGGAAAGATACTGGTGATCTGAGTTCTGACAGAGATTGGGTCCACATCGTTAGAATCACATCTGCTCGCTGTTCTTGATGAGGTTATGGCAATTTTATTCAGTTGCACACATTCCAGAAACAGACATTGTTACTGAAATAGTTTCTGAATGAAATATGATCATCAAAGAACACGTTCGTGTTTTCAGATATGGACGACCAGAAGTTTTAATCTGAAAATACAATTTGGGGAGGAAGCTGATTGTTCACAAGTCCTTGTGTAAACTTGGATAGTGTATGTATCCCTTTCCTCAGAAAAAATTAAGGACTGGACCGAGGACTTAAAAATATCATTGCTCTAAATCCAGTTTTTTTGTGATATTCATGACAGAGGCTTCCTGATTGTACTTAATTGATTGTTCTCAGGAGCCGCGTGCATCTGCTCCGACACGCTGTGAGTTCTGTGGCCAGCAGATGGCGAACTCCTTTGGTTTTTCAAAGCCATGTAGAAGTGCAGCAGGGAAGTGGAAGTCTTGCATCCCACTGCAGCAGCCAGGGCATTCAGGTTATTGGGCTGTGCCAGTGAAAGAGATGCCCCTTGAGAGATGTGACAGTGGTACCCCGCAGGCAGGGCAAAGGGGGCTGTGCAAAGCAATTGCATTTTGTCAAGGAAGTGTGGGTGGTATTTCCTCATTACTCCTTGTGGTGGTCAGTGTTTAAGAGGAAAGGGGTGGGGGGAGGGGAAAGAGGGGTCTCTTAAGCAGGATTGTCTGTGATTTGAGGAAAATCCAGATTGGTGGGAGGAGCACTTCATTTCCTTCACTCCTGTGTGTTCTCTCTAGCAAGTTTCTAAAAGCTTCTGCTGTCGTGGCTATTACTCAGTCAGTTTGACCACAAGATCATTCACAGAACAAGGATGTTGTCCAAGCAAACCTTCAGGTTTGTTTGCCGTTTGCTGTTAAAGCAGGTAGTTTTGTCCTCCTGTTCTCTACTGTTAGTTAGCATAGCACTGAAATACAGGCACGTTTACTGTGAGGCTCTTGGAAGCCACCTCAGTCAGCTCGGTCTGGGATCACAGGTCAACTGTGCGCAGCTTTGTGACTGACCTAGAACTGCTGGACCAGTTAAATGTTGCATCTCAGAACAGGGATGACAGTGCTTCCCTTTTCCTTTCAGATGCAAACTACCAATCAGAACCAACACCTCACTATAAAGAGAGCCAACAAGGACGAGACTTGCTGTACTAAAAAAGCTCTCCATCAAATCCAGGCTTTAACCTCTGAAACCAACCACTCAGCGTTATCAAAATCAGCATCTTAATTATTCTTTTCTTTAATCAGTAATTCCCTTTCATGACAATGCAGGGCTTTTAGGTCTTTAAACAAATGTAATCTTAATTGAATAAAGAAATAAAAATTAATGGCCACTTTGATCTCTCAGATCACCCTCCTCCTGCAGCAGCCAGGCGTCTGTCAGCTCTCCTTAGCACTTTCCTTTTGGACAGCCTCTGGTCTTATGTGCGACACAGGGACTCCACTGGCTGTGCTCTTGAGGTGAGCGTAGCAGAGCTCCTCAAGGGAGTTCCAGTCTGACTCTGGAGTCACCTCCCACTGAAGTGCAGCTGTTCAGAGGGAATGACTGCTCTTACTGCACGTGAGCAGGGAACCTGCCTTAATTACAATTTCATCTGAATAAGTTGTCTGGTGTGTTAAGAAGGGTGCTTACAGGAGCAGTTATCATCCATGCTATAAATTGACTCAATCTCTACACACAAATCTGACCAATTAATGCTCAGCTCTGCTAAATGAGGAGCTCTACAACAGCATATAGTTTCACACTTTATTTTTGAGAATGTCCAGGTTTAAGCAAAAGGTCTTAATGATAAATGACAACGTTAATATTGCAGTGGATTTACACAGAACATTACATTTTTAACAATGATTGATACGGAGTATTTGTCATGCAAATTACTTGTGTACACCAAGTAATGCTTATATCAATACATATCTGTACAGCATTTACATCTTATATTTATACTCTAACTAGAAACATTTTCCAAGAAAATATAGAAAAGAAACTGGTAAGCCACAAGTCTTCATTTGTAGCATTTGGTCTACAACAGACCCAGCTTTTCCAGCAAGCATATCTACATAGATATGTAATAAACTTTAAAAAATATGTATTGTTTTTATATATGAAGCATTATAAATGCTGCTTGGGTTATAAAGGTTGTTTTGTACCGGTTTAAAACTGTTCAAGATGTTAAGCAGTGTAGAGCTTACTTTGTCAGAGTATTGTAAAATTTAAGTCAGTCCAGCTGAGCTTAAGTGTTATGTACAGTTCTCTCCCCAGTCTGCACTGGCACCATAGCTGAAGTTAATGGCCACAAGGTTTGGATATTCAGAGAGGCCATACGTGTGGCAGAAGCAGCAGTGGCTCTTGCTGGCTCCTGCAGTTTCAGAAGGCAATGGTAAAACCAAAGAGCTGAACAATTACACAGCTTTCAGTGCAACAGGAAGGGAGAAGGCTGTTATTCCCAGGGGACTTTTCCTCAGCACGGCCAAACGCTAGCAGGTATTGCTTTAGGCCACAGAGCAGCTCGCTGTGCTAAGCTACACCTGGACTTGAGGCCCAATCGGGAAGGGAAAGGTTGAGAGATTTTTCTTTACCCTCATGGATAGTACCTGAACTTGGCCTGAACTTTCACAAGCCACTTTGTTTTACTGGCCTCGTGACCAGTGGAAATTCTGGGCCAGTTTCACTCCGTGTTAATACTGTTACAAATAAAACAACCACCATTTAAAATCAAATATCATTGCAAACAAGAAAGACATTCCATTAGCTTTGGTAAATTAAATAGCTATATTGAGCACCGCAAGTAGCTGTTTTAGATGTCACATTTTAATGCTACAAAATAATATATTTCCTGCTATAGTATCCTCAGATAGCTGTTACTGTGAATAATTACTTGTGCAGGATATAAGAACTTCCAGCTAAGTACAGCAAATGAACTCTCAAGGCATTTCCTTCATGCTTATCAGCAGACTTCCTCATCTGGTTAAATAAATACACTTTCTTGCAGATGATATCTCAGAAGATAAGAATCAATTTAAAAAAAAGTGCTTCATGGCTTATAAGTGTTTTGGTAATCTCATATTTCTCCGGGCATAGACTGTGCTGTGTTTTACCTTTGCACTCACTGGCTCCTGTGACAAATCTCATCCAGAGCTGCAGCTGGGGAGTGCATGGCTTCAAAGGAGAAGGCGAAGTTGCGCAGCAGAAGACTCAAGTCTTCTAGCAGCTGCTTTGCAGACACAGCATCTACAACTTCATTTATTTCCATAGAGTTCAAATGGCTTTCATTAAACAAAGATAGCCCACAGTGATACTTACTAATAATAAGTATTGGGATTCTACCTCCTTTGGCTGAGTTTTGCTTCTCACTCAGATCTGAGCATTCATCCAAGCAGCCTGCAGTTCCACACGCTCTGGGGAAGGGTGACCCCAGTCTGTTTCAGCCTTGTTCTGAAGCGTGCAAGAAAGCAGAACAGTCACAGGCTGAAACCCTGCGCAAAGCAATGCAAATCTGTAAGACAGCAACCACAAATCAAACTGCACTTTAAGGGTAAAATGAGATTTGAAAAAGGTAACTTAGTGTTACAGCAGAATTCCCTGTTGTGTATCCAAGAAGCAAAACTGCTTTGGCATCACACTGGCTCACCATTGGCACAGCAGACATGGCTCAGAGTCGACAAGACAGGAAAAATGAAAGCACTGCTGGAAGTAGTAGGATCCAAAGAAACTTCCTGCCCTCGCTGTGCAGTGAGGGGCTGCGCCTCAAGAATGTTATGTGCACTGCCACCAGGAAGTGCTGTGACAGAACGCGCCTCAGCACGAGACCCTGACCAGCTTCCATACGTTGTAAGAAACTGTGCAGGGGCTGACTGCAGTCAGGTTGTGTTCTTGAGGTAAAAAGAGGGATATCTACTCGTGTTTTCAACTTCAGCTACTGAAGTACAAGTCTGAAACAAATATCTTCTAAGAATGTAATGAAAATATATAAATTCTTGGTATGTTCAAAGTTTGTTATCAAGCAAAGGAATGAATGAGTGCTGCTTGCTCACCTACTAGGGCTGTATCTTACAGGAAGAATACGCTAGCCTGGCTTTTCTCCCTTTAAAAACATTAAGTGCATGTGAAATTATTATTTCAGGCTGTTTTCACATGCAAAGCCTGAACCCTTGCAACTCATGCAAGCTCTGTTACCTTATTCCTCTAATACTGTTAGTTAAACTACAATATATCTAAAACATAGGAAGGATGTTACTACAGAAAAAGCAGATTAAACCAGTCATTAACTCTCACCGCTTATCGTGTGAGCAGACTGGAAAGAGTTTTTGCCTTCTGGCAAATACCAAACCACATCTATGCAGTGTCGTGGCTGCAGACAGGCCTTTGCTGGTGGGACCTGCCTGTGTTTCAGTGCATTCACTCCAACCCTTTGGCACAACTGGTTAATGATGTAGCTGCCTGTCTGACACTGAGCTGCACTTCCAAAGAAGAAAAACTGCTTCTAGAAGGTGGATCATGTGCTCTAAATGAAAGCTTCATTTACTGCAAGACATAAGACTTGAAAACTTACTGAGATTGTGGGTTTCCTGCCTACAGAAAAGTGCCAGGCTGCCCTCTACTCCAGTTTTTAGTGTTGCATTTTACTGAGAGAGAAGTACTTCAAACGCTTTTCCCATTTATGGGCACTGAGCTCGAGAAGCAGGTATAGGATATGTTACCATTCTTTCCCTCCCAGTCCACGCCAACTGTAGTTACAACTAACACAAGTGGAAACAAAGCTTCCATGTCGTCAGTTAAATTAAGTTCCAAGAAAATTATCCTCTGGGATTTGAAGCTTACTTCAAATTATATGCCAATAACTACTCTGAAAGGTCTTGCCGAGATTTTATGTCATAGTAAAGTGTGTGTGTATACATGTATATATACATACACACATTATATATATATAATTTTTTATATATATATATATTTATATATAAATGTACAGTTGCTGTCTTCCTTTAGTTTGCCCAAGGTTTACATTACACTCCATTATAGACCATATAGAAGTGGATGCAGGTATCCATGCTACCCATCAAGTCCTATTTCTTGTTTGCAATTCTTCGTTTCCTTGTCGCCAGCATGTCGTAAAAGGGGTCCCTGCTGATACTTGCTCTAGAAGAAACAACACGAATTGTCAGTTTGGTTAACAGTTCTCTGCTTTTGGAAACTGAAATTTGTTCTCTCTTCCCTTTGGCTGGCTCCCCACTTCTAATAAGATAACGGATTGCTGACCTACAATCACAGCACAGCTCACGTTGGAAGGGACCCACAAGGACCACTGAGTCCAACTCTCAGCTCCACCCAGGACGATCCAAAATCCAAACCCCGTGTTGGGGAGCGGTGTCCAAACACTTTGCGAGCTCTGGCAGCACGGGGCTGTGCACACCACCTTTGTTGGCCTGGTCCATGCCCACTGCCTTCTGGTGGGCACCTTCCCTGCCCCTCATCCACCCCTCCCGACAGCTCCGTGCCATTCACTGCGCCCTGTCACTGTGCCAGGGAGCAGAGCTCAGCGCTGCCCTCCGCTCCCAGGGAGGAGCTGCAGTTCCTCTGACCATCAGAAGTATTTGTTTATAAACAGACGGTGCTTAGCTATAATTTGTTAAAGAGTTCATACTTCCATCTTGAACATAACTTGAACATAACTTGTTCCTTTAAGTTTGGGTCTGCTATATAAACCTCAAGTTGAATTCAAATTATAAAAGTTCTGAGCCGCACTGTGAACAAGCTCAAGATAGTTGTCACCAAACAAAAAATCAGGGTTAGGGATGGTTCTCAAAAGGTTTTACATTTGCTGAAAAGATTCAATTTAAAAAAAAAAAACCAACCATTTTCTTCATTTGAGTTAGAACCTGCTATGGTACTTAGGAGCAGACAGCCCGACTCATCCACCCCAAAGATCCTGACCTTAATCCCGGAGGATATTGCCGAATCAGAACTCTTTAAACAAGTTAAAATGCAAGGTCTCTTCATATCTTATTCAGAAAAGGAGCTTACGCTTCATTTCTGAAAGATATTTAAAACTCTGAACTCACTTGATGGACTTAATCCACTCTTCTTTTTCTTCTGGAGTGGGAGCAGATATTCTGTACACTACGTGGTTGCCTTCCACCACTCTGCCATCAGCTTCAGTTTTACAGGCTTTAATCACTTGGCCTTTATGACTGGGATTATAGAGCTCAAAGCAGTTCTGAAGGGTAGGAATGGAAAAATACGTTAAAAACAAAGCAAAACAAACAACCCAGAAACAAATTCATTTACTACAATCTCAGTTCCAAATGGTTTACTTATTCACTGAAAAAATGATAACGAGGGTATCTTACTGGTTTTCTAGGGTCTTCAACTTCTCTTATGCTAAGATTTTCTAATGGAATAATCCCTCTAGGTTCTTTGTCCTAAAAAAAACCAAAAAAAACAAAAGGAAAATACTGCATGATTATTCCTTGCCATACCCAGAGAATAAAGGAAGCTCGCAGCAGCATATACTCACAGTGGTGTATTCAAAGTAATACAGGCAGTTATCAGTCAAAATGAACCACCTTCGTTTCCATGTTTTTACTCTTCCCCCTATAACCAAAAGGCATTGATAAGTTAAACACGTCACTGTCAGGGCTTCAGCAAGGGATAAGAAGAAAGCAATTGAGTTTTGTTTGTTTTTCCAATATATATTTTAATTGCTTAATTGCAGATGGATCAGGCACAGATGAGCTGAGGTTAGGAACATTTCTGTAACTTGTACAAAGCTCCAACTCCTGAGTCAGCATTAACTATGGTGCACAAAAGCATTATGGCAGGAGTCTGTACACTCTCTCAGGTTTCACCCAAACCCAAGGGCTCAGCAGAGCCCTGATACTACTGCTGTACAGCCCTCAGAAATGCAGAGCCAGTGCTGCTATGGGAAAGCAGCAAAGCAGGAACTGGGCTCCAACCACAGGGCCAGCCCTGCCCACAGCCTGTCTTTTCACAAGGATGGGTTTCCTCAGTAAAATTCAGGACATTTTATCACCTTCCTTCCACTTGTGACTTCACACGTGATTATGAACCTCTCTCTAGTTCTGCATTTAGCATCCAGTGTGTTAAGTGCTTATAAACACTGCTGCTTGCAAGCAGAACAAATCTGATGAGTCAACAACAAGGAGCAAATGCAGAAATCCTACACCAAAGTGCTTGTACTCACTTTCAATAATTTATTGTTCTCCTAATGGGAGACGTGCCCCTGAGTACATCTGACAGAAGGCACAGCTCCTGCTCCAGAAATGCCATCATTTCCCCACAGCAGCAGCAGCTGCTGCACTGCTCACTCACGCCTGCTGATGCCCCGCTGCGTGGATCGGCTCCTTGCAGGAACACACATTGCTGTCAGTCCTTTCATCCCCTGTTCTGCAGTTTGCTGCCTAAGAACCACTCCGTTATCCCATAAGTGAAACTTTCAAGAATCATTTCCAGGGAAGAGGAAGTAAATAAAGAACTCCCATGTGACAAACATACAGGCCGAGTTCCACCATAGCTAAACGACTTCAGGATTGTGGCTCCACCTGTGCATCATCCATTCAGCAATCAGTCACTCTCATTATTCCTACTGTCTCCAAATAATTGGTTTTCCTACTGAACACCCTTGCACAAAATAGTTCTGTGAATACACACAAGGTTCCCATTTATTTAAAGTCATAAACAAATTTAAGAAAGAATTTTTTAGCCAACTGTGCTTCTTCAGATAGTGGGAATTTTGTTGATACTCTGGATTTCTGTACTGAAGTTAAAAAGCAGTTCTGGGGATCTCGTTTTGTTTTAGATCCATAGACAAGTATTTGCAGTGCAGACCAAGTCCTGCTGCATGCTCCACCTTCCGTTCAGTCGGTTTTAGGACCTCAGGATAAAGCAGTGCAAACACTGCAGCATCCAGAGGACTCAGATTTTATGCTTCCACTACACACACACACATCTCAAGAAAAAATTAATCCGCAAGCAGGTGTGGTGAAATAAGAGAAGGCAAAATAGTGCAAGATGCAAAAGCTGTGACAGAATGGATGGTTGAGTGAACTGGAGACAGTGAGGGAAGAACTGGTGGCATTTGAGTACAACCACTGTGACAGGTCCTTAAATAAGGCACTGTAGAAACATTCAAACTGGCACTATGTCACTACAGAAATTCCCATTGCTTGACTGAGAGCTGGTTCAAGCAGCACCAGGTATTTGGTCTGGGAACAGAAAGCCAACAAAGCACACCCTGATTCACTTCTGGATCAATGGAAAAGCAGCAGCCAAGTCAAGCTGACTGCCAGGGCAGTCCATCCTTTCACTCTACCACCACGTTTTTCATGCAGTCCAAGGGTCACTGCACTGTTAACTGCTGCTCCCATCCCTCTCAGCCAGCCAGGTTCTGCAGCTCAGCTGAGTGCCATAACAAGAGCACAGGTGCCTTTTCCACCAAGCAATGCGTTACTCTTCCATAAAAAAGGCATCGAAGCAGGACTTTTTTCTTCCAAAATTATCAACCGTTCTCAAATATAAGCCTGTATCTCTACCCCAATACTCAGCTGCAGCTGTCCAGCAGAACAGAAACTCTTTAATAAACTTGAAAGGCAATCTGATCATGGTTGCAGGCATCCCTGTACAACGTGCATTTAATCTGCCCTTACCGTGGGCTAAAAGCAGGAAGCTGGTTGATAAGGCTGTACTGACCACAAACACAGCACACAAGATTAATGTGTAGGAACTACTGATAACAAAATGTTATTTTTCTTGGCCAAGATTGCTGCAGGCTCACAAAACATCACACTGCTTAGTGCTGTGCTCCCTGCCTTATTCCAGCATTTTAAAGATTAAAGCTAAGAAGGCCTCATTTATCAGAAGAGGACCAAGGCAATCAGTGTACGAATCCATAAAGCTTTACAGAAATGGACGGATGCAGAGGATGTACTTCTCAAAGATCCAGTTGATAAATTAAAATGCAAAGACATCTTAAATAACAAAATAAAGCAGTGTATCATCTTGTTGGCAGAATTGTAAGGGAACTACATGTAAAGGCCATAACAAGGCCAAATGCAGACAAAGAGGGATACAGATCTTCTTTGCCTACATAACCCAACACAGGAATAATTTTTTTCCAGCTCTGGGTGACATAACAGCACAGCAAGGTACCAGAAATAAAACCCACACTCAGGAAGGCCCTCAGCTTCCTGACTGCTGCTCCCCCGTTGGATTTGAGAAAAGCAGAGCCATCCTCCCAAGGACAGAAGCACTGCAACAAACACCACAGGCACAGCAGGCAGTGAGGCACCAGGATGAGCAACCATCTGATGGGCAGCCAAAGTTCACATCTCGTGTCAGGCTGGAGTCACTTCCTGTCCTGTTCAGAAGAGCAACATCACAGCTTTCCTTTCCCCAGAGGAAATCACACACACCAAGCTGCTTGCCAGCTGAAGCCATTTCAGACACAGAAATGCCCTCCCTGTTGCTGGGCACTACCAAAAAGAATCTGTCCCCATCCGTGTGACACCCATCCTCTAGTTGGTAAGATCCCCTGTTGGTCTTCTCCAAGCTCAACAGCCCCAGGTGTCTCAGCCTTTCCTCCTAAAAGAGATGCTCCAGGACTCTCATCATCTTTGTGACTCTCCACAGGACTCTCTCCAGTAGTTCACAACATAGGCTTATTAAAACCACCGACAGAAAAGCAACTGGCTGAGTCTAGCTAGCTAAAACCAGAGGTGCTGCCCAACACCCAGTTTGGTGCTTGAATTTGCACTGAGCCACAGCTGAACTGAATTCAGAGCAGGAAGCTTCACAAAAGCAAGCATTTTTGAAGCATGGCTTTCTAAAGCACAGTGCCAGTCTCCAGAGCTAGGAAAGTCTTTAGGAGAAGCAAACTGTAATACATATCAAAGACTGACAACATCCATCTCCTGCCCAAAGAATCATCAACATGGTGAGCTGGCACAAGGAGCCAAATGGGAAGAGACGCTGTAAGAAGTACAAAATAAGAACTTGAGAGACTCTGGATTTAAAGGCTCATCTTCATTGTTTTATATATTAAAAAAACTCTTCAGCAAATATTAATACAATGGAGCACTTAAACTCGCAGCCTGGAATACAATCTCCATCGATTTCAGAATGTTTCCCAACAGAAAAGACTGCAGATGGTCTGTAGCAATGCAGACAGTGTGGATGAAGGCAGCACCCCCTCACTGTTTAAACCTCCTAGCAAGCAGGAAACTCAAGGGAGAGAAAAACAAAGAAAGAAGGAAAAAAGCACTGTTTATTTCTGGTCAATGCACACAACCCAGCAAAGTGCATTTGTGTGCACCCTATTCAGATAACCTGCTGCGAGGCCAGGCTGCAGCTTGTAGTCCCATCCACATGTTTGCTGCTGGGTTTCCATGTGCTGCCTCTCATCACACCGTGCTCAAAGCCAGAGCCAGAGATCACTTCTACAGAAGCGCCTGGCAGCGCTCAGCCACTCTTTTTTGTTCCATTTCTTTGTTCCTTCTACATATTTATTTATGTAGATCTCTCATATGTGTTCTGTTGACAACTTCTTCCATGGTGTATGGCTGGTACTCCTCTACATACACAGCACTCCTATTTATACTGTGTGTGCATAAACTTACGAGTGAATGGATATAAATGTGCAGTTTTCACTATATTCATACAGTTTATTCCCAACCAACAGAACAAGCATTTTTTTCTACTTTGTCTTAAAAGCTTTTCAGCTGAGATAGCTATTGCCTCATACTATAACATGGAGAAAACCTGCAAAGTCATCTTTGAAACTGTAGCAGCTCAGCCACTGCATGCCAAAACAAGCAAGGAATCAGCTCTACTCTTTTTTGCAGTTAGACAAAGAATCTCTCTATAGTGGAGAGATCAAAACCAGACGTTGCAGAGCACCTGAACAATTTACAAATAGCTGCTCATGTGTCTTTCTAGCAGTAGCACAACTGCTGGTTTCCAAACACCAGCAGAGAGCCCACGGCTCTCCCTTGCTCAACTTTCACCACAGTGCACAGCCCACCTCTCGCCCCAAGCGCGGATCCCTCTTCACACTGCAGTCACCAAGCGTGAAGTGCCCTCTTCTTTAGTAAGTTCAAGTGGCCTAACACTGGCTCCAATGGAGTGTGTCACTACTGGCTTTGTAGAAAAGAGATTTATTGCATCGGGAAAAAAAGCAAACGAAAAAGACAAATTTTACTGCCTTATAGAGGAGAAGAGTCCCTGAGCACAAGTAAAGCTGATGGGATTCGTTTGTTGAACTGAGGCCGTAACACAGCGCAGTGCCAGGGGACTGCAAATCACCAAAGGTTCCAGCCCCCTAAACTTCACACTAATTTAGGAATGTATTTGGCTTGCTCAGTAGGATGTTTACAAAAGAAAATACGCAGGAAGAAGAGCAGTTGTGATGTATGTGAAGTTCCAATGCAATCAGGTTTTTCCAAAATACTAATGTACAGATGTACAAGTAACAAAATCACTCTGGATCTTCATTATAAGAGCACAAAATGTTTTTCTCTTGGTCAAAATTGTTCTTCTAGTTATATTCTTCAGTGAATGCAGTGAAGTCGTCTCTATTTTTCTGCTTTCCGCTTAAACACCTTCTTTTGCAGAAGACACTTGCACATGAGCTAGACACTCATGCCAGCCTTTGTGGACAGAATACCTCTGATGATACTGTTAGTGACACCGAGTGAAAAAGCAAAATGCTACAATAAATTTAAGAAAAAATAACTAAGAAAACTAAAAGAAAACGACAAAAAAAAAAAAACAACAGAGGAGGGAGGAGGAAGAAAATAAAAGAATGAGCAACTGAACAAGAGGGCACTGGAAAGCAATCAGATACGTACCTCCTAATGCAGAATAAGCAGAGACAGCCAGTCACAGAACAGAAAGGTGATAGGTCATAGGCCATAAGGAAAACAAGAAGGCACATTTAAACCACTCATTAAAAAATCATAGCCAAAACCAAACCAAGAGAAACTCACAAATAATATGGAAAAATAAAGACACACAGAAATAACTCTCTGACAAGAAATCCTGTTTTTGCACACAGAAAACTGAGCTGAAATTTCACATGAGTTCTGTGCAGTGACTACACGGAGGTTTGGCTGTTATCTATCCATCACGGCACACGGCACCACACCGAGTTTCCTTTCTGTTGCTGAGTTTTCAGTTCTCAGATACCAGAAACAAAACTCCAAAGTCTGAAAAAAGATTGCTGGTTTGTATACGTGAAATAAGGAGTAACAACCTTCAGTTGTAAAGGAGTTACTTATTTTGGCTTACACATTTTTAAATGTAAATTACAGTGTGAACCGTTTTACATTGGTAAGGAAGCAGCTGGACACAGAAGCAGCAGACACACAAACAACGAACAGACAGCAGCCAGGCCGCTCTCGGAACTCACCTAATTTCAGCAGCCAACCTTCTCTATCTGGATTAAAAAATGTATGCGTTAGATCATTTCCATCATCCTCTGGAATTTTAAATGGCTCATTCTTAATACTTTCATATAAATTCTAGAAGAATAAAAAAAGAGGAAAAAGACCTCGTTAGTAACATCCATCAGAAAGTACAACAATGTCCTACTGCTTCTCAGTTTCTTTGTACAAAAAGCAAAGGAAACACTGCCAAAAATTTCTGGACCATCCATTCCCAATTGTTGTTCAATTCTCTGAATGAGTTTGCTTTTAAATTACTTTCTCTATAAACTCTCCCTCTAGATTTTATAAGTACTTCCCAACAAATACATTTTTATTTCAGAACTCAGTATTTCAGAAGTTTCAGCTTCTCAAATCGTTGTAATTTAGCCTAACTGTTGCCAAACAAATCTGGGTTTTTAGAAAATACTTCAGATCATCACACTGTGTTAGAGAAGTAAATAGCTTTACTGTTAGCTCAGGGGAGAGGAGGAAACTCCACACCACATGTGGGAAGAATAGAAAAGCAGTAACAAAACAGTCATTTTTTCATTATTATTTAACTATTTTTCCTACTTTCTCTGACTTATCTAGAAATAGAATTCTTTCCATAAGAAGCCAATTCCATAAGAACACTGTCACAAGGATACTACTGAGAGACATACAGAGGACTTCCAATGCAATCTCTTCTCAACATAAGATCAAGATTAGAGACAACTAACTGAAAGAGACCATGAATATCAATGGATGGTTCTTTCAGTCTCTCAGTTGGTTCTGCATGGCAGAAAGTGTTTGTTTGTTTTTTTTTACTTCCCTTGAGAAATCAGTCTGAAAACTGTTGCATATGTATTAAGTTTCCTATTAAAAAACAAAAAGCAGCCCCTTACCTTCCCCATTTTCACTTACCCGTAATAATTCTTCTGGAAGGTCTCCACCTTCATTAATTCCACGGTTCATAGAAATAAACCTCTCTACTGTTGGCTTATCTCTGACATTGTGGTTGTGCAGGCTGGTATTTAACATGATGATTGCAAACGACAGCACATAGCACGTATCTGAAACCAGAGTGGAAAAATGAGTTACTTTTCTATGTCTACAGTAGATGCAATACAGGCTTGGTCCATCAGACATCAATTCAAAGCGCCTCCAAAGTTTTACCACAGACACCCAGAGGAAGAACAGTCTCTTCAAAATAATACTTGAACTGCATGTAAATAAAACTGAAAATAACATTTGACTCAATTTCTTGGCATACAAAGGTGCCAATATCAAAGGATAACAAAAGAGATCTTATGATGCCTCTTGACGTGGTTGTGACTGTAGAAAGCTCTCCCAGAATTCAAACAAGATCATGCATAAGAAAATAGAGGATGGAAATCTCTCTGCTACATTAAGAAAAGACGTGTTTGCATCTTCTGTATTTTGTTTTCAGTAAGGATTTCCCTCTGTAGCTGTTGCTGACCTTCTTCACATTAACCTTTTCCTTGCCTACTTTCTTACCCTCGAATCTGGTGATCAGAAGGAAGCTCCGCACGCACATAACTGAACAGACCAGCAGTGCTAAGACACTATGCTATTCTGTGCAGGATGGGAGAGCTCTGTTGGCTTTTTATGCCTAAGTACTTCTAGAGGATGTAATTCAATAGAAAACTGAGCTGCATTTCTAACGGAGGTAAGTCTTTGATAAGCAGACTGCTATAAAGAAAAGATACAGTTCTCCTAAGGGAAAAGCTGGTGACTTCATATGTAATATGTAGCTACACAATCTAAATCTCCCCTCTTTCAGTTTGAAACCATTTTCCCTCATGCTGTCACAACAGACCCTGCTGAAGAGTTTGCCCCCTTCTTTCCCACAGCTCCCCTTTAGATACCGAAAGGCCACTCTCAGACCTCCCCAGAGCCGTCTTTTCTGCATGCTGAACAGCCCCAGCTCTCTCAGCCTGTCCTTGTAGGGAGGTGTTCCATCCCCTGGAGCATTTCTGTGGCACTCCCTGGATGTGCTCCAATAGACCAATGTCTCTCCTGCAGTGAGGACTCCAGATCTGGACACAGTGCTCCAGGTGGAGTCTCACCAGTACAGAGCAGAAGAGCAGATCACCTTCCCTGACCTGCTGGCCAGGATTCTTTGGATGCAGCCCAGGATATGATTGGCTTTCTGGGATGCAAGGCACTTTGCTGGCTCATGCCCAGCTTACCATCCCCCAGAACTCACAAGCCCTTTTCCTCAGGAGCTCATCCTTTCATCCCACTGCTTGCACTGATAATGGGGATGGCTACAATCCAGGTGTAAGACGATGCACTTGGCTTTGCTGATCCTCATGAGATTCTCCTGGACCCAGTAGGGAGATAGTGAGATATCTAACACTAGAATCCTAGTTCTCAAACACCCAGTGCAATGCTGTAATACTACAATGTGATGGAAAGTATAGCAAAGTGGCACAATCTTCGGAAGCAGCAAATGAGAACAAGCCCAAATGCAGCAGCTGTGAACACAGAAACAAAGGAAGAAAAACTGCTTACCTCTGGAAGGCTTCTGGTAGGCAGGGATCTCCAGCAAGATACCCTCATCTCCACTGCTAACCCTTACACGAGGCCTGGGAAGGGGTGGATCCTGGCTCCAACCCTTCCCCTCCCTCAGGTATGTTGTAAGTACCTGAGCTCCCCTGGGTGGCCCTGCCTTCCACCAGGTGTCAATCACTGGTTCAGGCTGTGATTCAGCATCTCAGCTACACACAGACAAAACAGCCTGGTGACATTTCTAAAGTGTGACTTATGCTCAAATTGGTTTACACATTAATGGCAGAGTTTAGTAAGTGGAAATGAATACTGACCATCAGCTTCTACTTTCCAGATGTGAAATATAAAATCAGATAGCAGCATTTTCACAGTTCTCAGGAAACGATTATTCTACGTATTATTTTATTTTGAACTTTCAAATTAGCCACTGTTTCCTTGCACCAGATACAGAAGCACATTAACATTCTAACATCATTTATAACTAACCTGTAGACTGAAAAACTCCTGGGTTACAAAGGCAATAGCGTGAAGCAAAAGCTTCCATCATACGATCAATTTTCTGAGCCTCTCCTGGGAGTCTGAAGCTCCACAGAAACTGCCTACAGAAAAGAAGAATCATTGTTAGGCTCATTCCAATATTTACATATTAAGCATCTATTGCTAATAATCAGAAACAAAACCCAGCAATGTGGATATAAAATGTCCTAGAAACACGGTCTCCATTTCTCAACAAACAAGTCAGGAGCTATCATAAAGCAACATGCACAGATGGCTAACCCAGAAATTCAGCCAGCAACACTGCATGCTATCAGGCAAGGTAATATGGCAGTTCATATTCTGAGACTCTCTTTTTTCAGGACTAGTAAACAATTTTCTGTATGCATCCCATTTTTCCATGAGAATACTACAGAGGAAAAAAACCAGTTCAATCCTCCCTGGGATTCCTGTCTACTAAGAGCAATAAGCACTCAGCTAGACTTTACTTACAATGTAGAAAGAAACAGGAGAAAATATTTCTGCTCAGGGAGAGAAGGAAGGAGTACAGCAACACTTATTATCTTTAAATGAATTAATTAAACATTAAAAAATGAAAACAACTACAAGAGAAACACCAGTGCATGGAGAGAAGTGCTGCCTGTCAAGTGTAAGTTGCCCTACAAAGATCAGACCCAGAGCTTAAGAAAGACTGACAATATCATCTCAGTAATTTTGTAACATATGCAGGAGATCAGCATGAACTGACATAGAATTTTTACTTTCCTAGCTTACTGTTTCTATATACAGGTACACTGGAATGCATACAGGACAGAAGTCTTCACAAATTCACTTTCAGCAAATGGTGAAACTGAAAAGTTCCAATTAACCGAGTCACTTGTTCTTTTCTTTTTCAGCAAAACAACCATCTAAACTAAAACAGGACCTAGAGCAGCAAAGTTACATGCTCTGCCATGCAAAAAAAAATTCCATATTCCCTGTACAGTGGGTGCCAATATAATACCCACTGGCTCCTGTTCTCATAAGTTTCCATTTTAGGACTTCATATCAAAGAGTCACAGGCCATCCTTAACTTGGTTATACTGTCTTTTACTCACCTTGTACAAGGTTCCAACCAGATCACGAATTTTGTAAGCTACCAAAATACAAACATTTAATAGTAGCAGCTGCTAAGGTAGAATAAAATCGAGCCTAATGTTAAACTCAGTAAAAGAGATAGGGATATGAAGCCTTCCAGAAAATCTGCATCAGCCAGAGCCTTAGCTTACGCCTCAGGCAGCTCAGGCTAACATCACCACATCACTCAACCGTAGCAAAGCTGTTCTGACTCCACATCACAAGGTGCTGCACCAGAAACAAAGATCACATGAACATTTCTATTTATCTGTTGTCAGGGGAGTCACTTGAAGCAATGAGACTGGCAGAAGTGTATTTCACCTTAATTTCCTGAATTAATTGTGGATTTCCATAAGCAACACTGCATGCTTCACAAGGTAACTCCATGCTACCATCTCAGAGAAAACCAGTTTACACACCAAAGGAAAAAAAAATATTACACTTTTTTTTTTTTTTTTTCTTCACATGACAGGTAAATATGAATAAAGTAGGAAGAAACTGCTTGTACCAAAGTCTACCTCTGTGCAACTGCACATGAACAGTAATTCTGGCCTGCAGTGCTCTTGCACCCATAGGAACAAGTGGAAGAAATGGACGAAGAAGGGGACAGCAAAGAGAAAGATCTGTTTGGCTGGGGCTTTGTTTCAACCCATCTCTGTGCTGAGATATCAAATTGTCTTCAAATGTTCACATTTGGCAGGCACACCAAAAAGGCACAGCTACAAACAATTGGAGGTGCTAAAACAGAACCGCCTCTGCTAAGCTGCCTAGTGAGGTACAGAGTCATGCTGTGTTACATCAGCTTTCTGACAAGCAGAACACAGTGACTCCTATGAATGTGCAATTTAATGCAGGAAGAAAAACAGAAAGACTTTACTCACCGTAAGGCTTGTACAAGATTGAGATCAGCAAACTCATGGAGTTCAACAAAAGCCTGAAGAACTTTAATATTAAATTCATCTCTGTGAAAGAGAAAAATGGAAATAAACAATTACAATGCTGAACTTCAAAGCCTTCTTAGTTACCTCTATCTTTTTCTTATAGAATAAGCAAACAAACATATTATACTGATCAACCAAACCAAAGGAATTGCTGTCACGTTCAATTTTAATTGCTAGCGTTTTGCCCATTTCTGCTAGCATTTAAAAGCTAAGCTATCAAGAGCCACTACACCTGAATAGATTTCAACACTGCTTTTTTAAATGCCCTGAAAGTGGCCTGTCTTTCTTTGCTTCATTTGTTATTTGTTATTCTTGCACCTACCCTCACAGGGGAAAATATTTGATAAATCTATTCAGTACAATAATCTTTTGCAGCAATTGTGTCATGAACACTTGAAACAACAGTTAAGGTAGGATTAATTTCTTTAGCCATACGAAGTAGGACAAATAAGCCATACTTCAACTGCTTATAAGAACAGCTTTTTCAAAGAAGTACTTAATATGTACCAAATTCTTATTCTATTCTCCAAAATTGTTACAGTGGAAGCTTACTAAAAGCTTTTGACTTGGCTTGCTCTCAGCTATCTTTGACATCATTATGCAAAGCATGAGCCCAACTATGCTTTAATACAAGGTTATTTGAATGCAAAAGTTATTTTTAAAGGCTGATAAGCACAAAATGATTTGAATGCAGATAGAATTTAGTCTACACCACTACTACATTCATATGTCTGAAGCAGAAAGGTTTGTAATCCTCAGGGTGTGCTTTAAATACATCATCAAGGCAGAATGTTGCGTATCAACCTCCACCCGAAAATAGAAAGGCGTGCATTCACCAAGAATTATCTGTTGTGTTACTGACTAAATGCTTGTAGCTAATCTGTAACTCACAAGCAAATACTTGAAAGCAAACCATTTATTAAGATGTTTCCAGACTGTTCAGAGAACCACAGAGCAGCTCCATCAAGCAAAAAGAAGCAATTCTCATCAAATTCAGTATTATACAGTTGAGCTCCATGCTACGTTGCAGAGCAGTAAATTTGTATAAAGTGCAACTGCACAGAGCACTCAATAGGGCTGCTGTGTTATCTTAAGCCAAAGATGCTCCTTGTCTACATGTACACAAAGCTGCAGTAATTCAGCACAAATACTCTAATTTTTGCTTTTTTTGGTTCTAATGTACATTGGATTAAGAGTCATGCTTTGTCATGTGAGGAGAAGCTTTTCATGCAGCTCCAACACTGCAAATATAGAAAAAGATCCTTTTCACAATTCTCCTCAAATTTTAGCACCAACTTAAAGATTCATTAAAAAAGAATTTTTATTTTTTTTTGCTATTCAGTACAAATCACTACAATTTCTCATATTTAAATAATGAAAAATCTAGAAGATGGTCCTGAAATAATAATACATCTTTGAATTTGATATGTGAGCAGCAACGTGACCATTCTGCAGTACGCCAGTGGGACTGGTGGCACTGGTGAGATCCTTCTGCACGAGCACAGATTGATGGGAGCACAGGCTTGGGAGCAGAATACTGGAAGTATTTCAGGAGGTAGAGCATAACTATAAAAAAATGCATACTGATTGTCTTTTGCAAGCTTTGTTACAATTTAGTAGATACTAACATACAAGTAATTGCACAACTCTACCCAAATATTCAACATCCTAATGCCTTCATATTGAAATTGCTGCAATGTCTACTCACACGGTCCAGAAACTGCACAGAAAACCTTTTCAAAAATATATGTACAACAGTGAAAACTTTCATTAAGCTTGTTGCTGTCAGGAGGAAATAGTGCACAAACTAAGCTGCTGATGCTGTAAAGAGATTACAGATGTCTCACGGGGATCTGCCAGAACACATCACTACAGCAGCAGATCCTAAATGAGTCAGCTTTTAAACCTCCCTAACTGGCATCAGAACCAGCACATGTTCAAGCACGCAGATGGCACCAACTCCAACCTACCTGCTACTTCTATCTCTTGCTGCTCCCTTTCCCAAAATCCATTCCTGGGCTGCATCTCAATGGAACCAATTTGCATTTTATTGCATTTTGCACATTTATTGTGCTAGAACTGATGCAGCTGCTCTGAGAGATGCCTCCTTACTAAGAGGAAGGCTGGTACAGGGATGACACTAAAACCTGCTTACAACTACTGTCCCAGGAATGATCCATTCTAGTAAGTAATTTTCTTCCTATCAATTATTATCAGTTGTAAGCCACACCTTGTCTAGGGATGGTGTCAGGAATTACTAAAACTGTTCACCACTCCAAAAGCTTATGGTATTAAATTCTGCTTTAATGCCAAATTTAAGGATATTTTCTCAAAATGGTAAGTTACAATGAATTAAATATTATTCAACAATGGATCCATTTAAAAACAACAACTAATCAACATCTCATAGGTTAGCATTACTTCCCTCTGTAGCTTTTCTGCATCCGTGAGGAGAAGCTTTTTGTGCAGCCTCTGAAGGGGCAGGTAACTCCTCCAATTGCTAAGTGTGCTTTGTGAGCAGGATGAAGTTTCAGTATTATTATTTACCTTTCACCGAGGTAATCGCCGATTACCGTTTTATTTAATCCTTCTCCTTTGTAAAGGAACTGTGCAATGTCTTCTGCAGTGTTCTGCAAGAGGTCGTTTTCTATCAGAAACTGTATTCCCTAGGAAAAGCAATTTTAGAGGAGAAGGAATATTACATTTTTTTCCACAGCATTTATGTAAATACTGCTCCTAACATTTGGCATCAGTACAGTGTCACAGACATGCACGCAGCATGTAAGAGTTAAAGTAGTCTACAGTTGTTTTTGTTTCTCTACTTTACATGAAATAGTAAACAAATGGTTGCTTTTTTCCCAGTCAGATAAGCAGTATTTTGTACTGGTTGGCAGATATAAAAGGGAACACATTTTTAAGGCAAGTACCACCAGGTGGCAGTTTGAATTCCTTAACTACAGAAACACCAAGTACTGTCTTAACAGGTTAATGTAAGTTGGCCTGCTCAGCACGCTGCATAAATGTCTGAAGATAATCTGTAAAATCATATAACAAAGAGGTATGCAGGAATGACTTAATCACCGCCATGACAAAAAATAAAGCATTTGCAAACTGCACCCCAGTCCATCAAGCCACTACTTGCAGGAGAAGTTATGGCTGAAGATACTGAAACCAGTTGAAAGACTTCATGCTGACTCTGGGGATTGGCTGACTGCAAACGTGCATGAATTAAAGCACTCACAAAGGGCTGACCGTGAAACCTCTCGGGCCTCTACTACAGAGCTTCTACGAAGCCAGGAGGAGCCTTACCCCAACCTCAGTGCACACCTGACCAAGCCCCTGATTCCTACACTTCTCTAAATCACTGGCCACAGAACTTGCCCGCTCTGAGATCCCCAGAAAGCTTTTTGCAAAGCAGGAAATAGAGGAGTCTATGGGTTATTTGAAGTTTACATAAAGGCTGGAAATGATGTCCACCACTCTGTAGTCATGGACAGCTCTTTACATATATATATGATTTATTTTAAGCTTTGATACTTCATTTTCTGTGATAAATCAGGACAGTAAATTGACTTTTTTTTTTTTTTTTGGTCAGGCAGATAATAATTTATTATACAAAACCAAAGTCTTAAATGCAGCTCTCTCCTAACAATTTCATCGTCTGAAACTCCGTTTCATCACATGCTGGTAGTATGACAACTTAGTTCTTTTAGAAGTCATTTCAGAACAGATGTGATTTCATTGCAAAGGAAACATCATTTTTACTCTGAAGCAGTAATAGCTGAGATTTCCTCAAAACAAATCAGCTCAAGCATATTTGATAACATTTGTGCAAAATCTTCACCCGACGATGAAACATACTGCTTTTTTTCTCCATACCAACACAAAAAGTTTCTCAGATGTGCCAACCAAGAACGAACCCTCCTTCCAACACACAGCAGAAGCTGCAGCTGCAGGTTGCTTTGCTCAACACCCAGACTGCACTATTCATGTTTAATGCAGACTGCCCATAGAGTTTGTACAAGTTGTACAGGTTACTGAAAAATGGAAATGACTGGAAACGTGGAAAACAAAGGATACCTGCACAGAAACAGGAATCTGAGCATGCTGCAAAAATCAATGGGTTTGAGGGCTGTTTTTGTTTGTTAGTTGTTGTTTTTTCTTTTAATTCTTCAGATCTTTAAAGCAGCAGAAAAAAATCAGATAAACAGGAAAGGAATGTCTGGGACAACTCTCATGTCTGGAATACACTGCAAAATAGGTCAGCCAAACACTCATCAACTCCTCCACTATCTTTTGTCTTGGTGTAACTCCTCTTCATGAAGGCTATATAAGACAAAAGGCAGTCATTTGACCTCCACGCACAAAGTCAGCATCACACAACAATTTGTTATTCACCGACAAATGCCACATGATTTTTAGGTTTGTTTGTTTTTTAAAAGCCTGTGCAATTAAATCTCCGATTTTCCTTTTTTAGAGCAACTTGCTGATAAATTCTGCACTTCTTTAGATCCTGTTTTTGTCAGGGAATCCATTTCCCCAGCCCACCACGGACAGCAGTGACACCCACTGCTAGGAATGCAAAGCACAGCTTCGTGTCCCCTGCACAGGGATTTCTGAAGTGCTTCTTGTTTTGTTTTGCTGTTTGTTGGTTGGTTTTGTTTTTCCCAAACTTGACCATTACAGCCCTTTGCCTGATGTAACCTAACTGCATCCAACACAGCTATTTTCAGCAACGACTTTCGGGTCAGGGGACAATCACACATCTTTGGGTTACCCCATTGGAAAACACAAAACTCTTCAAATAAAAATGATTAAAGAAATCAGCTCGATGTGTTGCTGCTACTATGAAAACACTACATCTATATTATTGGATTTTTAAGGGAAAAAAAGCTTTGAGGATTCAAATATTCAAACATTCAAGTGAATGTACTGTTACTCTGCTTCTTTCACATTCCCAACCATGGAGACCACCTCCCCTCCTGCTGTGAAGAAGAACTGTTGTCACAAGGACCAGAAGTTCATTCTCTCATTCAGCATTAAAATAACATACATGTCAGCTGCCTGTAATTTAAAGTTGCAGCTCCTAACAGAGAGACAATCCAGCTTTGGAGCATCCAGCTACTGCAGGCCACCACTGATTTACAGACATTTTTAAGGAATTAGTACTCGAAGTCCATTTACCACATTTATATTACGTTACAGTAGTAATGTGGCCGCAGCATCTGTTTACAGAAATAACTTTATCCCATAAAAAGAGTACCAAAAATAGTTAACACTGGAACGAAGGCAGCTTGCATCACTGTGTGATTTTGCCACAAAATTCTAGGAGGCAAAAGAGCTGGAGGAAAATAACAGTCAGAATATCAGGGATATTCTGCCCTCAACAGAGCTGAAGTCATACAGACATCAGAACGGGAAAGAAAAATAGCAGCCATGGTCACCAGCTTGAGAAGGGTTTTGTATCACAAAATGCTTCAGTGTTTTTACTAAACTGAAAGCAGCCAGAAGAACAGCAGCCATTGCTTCTCTTGGACATTACAGAAAAGCCATCAAATCATAACTGACATCAATACAATTTGAAAGAAGAACAAAGCTTAAACGCTCTCAAGAAAGATGTTAAAGAAGATTCTTCGCAAATGAAGGCATGCTGCCTGCCAGTGTTTGCCAAGCAACATAGGTAGGTATCTGTGTTATGTAAGTGTACAGATACACAAATGTTCACATGTGAATTTTTCACAAACAGAATTTGGATATGCAAATATAACAGCCCATATGAGAATAACTAAGAAGCAAGTTAAAAGCATTTTGGAAGAAGCAGAGGGCATTTATAGAGATATATTTAACTCTATTACTTCACTGGTAGCCAAATTTGTAAGTACTTTTAGAACTGTTTGACATGTCAACATAGAACACACTCTATCAGGTACAAATAATCTCCCTGAAAGTCACTGCAATCAACAGCTGGCATATTTTATTGTTTATAAACACGTTTTACTTCATATATATATATGTATGTGTATATATATATATATATATATATATATATATAAAAAACCATGTTTTAAGTGAAAAAAGCACACACGGTTGGCAAACGACTAAACGACTAAATTCACCTCCTGCTTCATGTATGAAAAGGATATACAAATAAGGGCTGACAATTTATATAATCTGAATGTTTGAAATGCTGTAAGAAAACAGACTGTATTTGCCATAGATCATTTTAGAAGCAGAAGCCTGATTCCAGGCAAACAATACGATGGTAACAACTCTACCTTCTTAGGGTCCATGTTGAATTTCTTCCTTCCCATGGCTATTTGCTTATTTCTCTGTGTCGTTTTGCTACACGTGGAGAAAGGAGAAAAAAAAAAAAAAAAGAAAAAAGCAATTCTCAATTATTCTTCTACAACAGAACAATTTCTGGATAAGTTTATTTTAATTTGCATTTTGACTACTTCAAATTTTCTATCACGACAAAACTGGGACATTCACTTTGTGTAAGGGGGAAAAGTAGGTTACTATTTACTGCTACTTCAAATGATTGCAGCTTCAGTGAACTGCTCATTATTAGTTGGACAGTTTCAAATACTGCATTCTGTTCAACCTGTTCTCCACCTGAACATAAGACAAACCTGAATGGGATAAAGTCAAACTTACAGCTCTTTGTAACAGACAGAACAAAGGTGACCAAAGGTTTATTTAGCATAATACCCACTTTTATTTTCTGTTCCTGGAATAGCTGTTTCAAGGAATTAATGAATCATGTCTGTATGCTGGCTTTACTTACCTTTCTTCCACACTAGTCAGATTATCAATTTCTGTCATAACCTCCGCTATTTCAAATTTTAATCTCTGTCAAAAGAAGAAAGTAAACTGTTAATCCACATTAAAACTCATTTTGAAACTATCTGTCATGTACTAGTATAATCAGTTAGGTTTTATTTTCATAAATATTTACTAATCATCTGAAGAGAAGGGATAAATCTCACAGCTGGCAGTTGCAGACATGAATCTCAACTCCATGTGTGTGCTCCCATCAGAACATCAAGACCAAACTATCAGTACCAACTCCAACACATTTATTTACCCACACTGTTCTCTCACTCCTATCCTGGATACAAACCTACTGCTTCTTGAGTCCCTGACTGCACAAAGCAATTGTGTACACATGCACACAAAGCATCGCATAGATCCAGAAGTTAGCATTTTTAAAAGCACATAAATGAATCGTAAACCTGCTTGATAATTAACGAGATTTAGTTTCAGCCATTTGCATACTTATGAAAACATTACATATGGCTCACACCTACAGAGAGTGAAAAGTTGTGCTTTACTGTCATTCAATCTGCTGCAGCAGTCTCCTAGGGAATTCTATACACGAAGCAGTTACCTCAATATCATCAATCAGTTCTTTTTTCCTGCGACGAATATTTATAAGTTCTTCTCTTTCTTCTATGGAGAGGTCATCAGGCACTGAAATAGACCAAATGCACAATCTTTCAGCCTTTGCAAACATACCTCATGGCAAAGAACCGAATAAACTTGATTAAGAAAAACAAGTTATTTATTTCAAGTTTGTTTTTTCTTTTTCTAGCTGGGATTACGTAGGGGAGTGGAGGTGAAAACGCATCCAAATTCACTGAAATTCTACTTTATAAAATTGCAAGTAAGGCAACAAATGAAAGGCTAAGGACAGAATCGATCCTTTAAAAGGAAACCAGACAATTTAAGGGAATTTTGTTGTCATGTAACAGGTGGGAAGATTTGGCTCTACAGTTTGATTGCCAAAATCAAGTCTGGTATCGTTCCAGTTATTTCAGTAATAGATCAAAATTCTTCATTTGAATAAATCATTCCTATGACATTTTCCAGAGGGAAAAGCCACAGAAAAGTCATTATCAAGATGTGCATCTTGGTGCTGCCGTTGGATATCATATTCGTTACCCGCCCTTACCAGATGAAGGTAAGCAGAATAGCACTAACACCCCTAACAGCAATCACCTTCCATCACCTGGATATACATTTTTATTCTTTTCAAATAAACATACAGTTACAATCCACCACTAAACACAGCTTATCACAAAGTTCTTCTTTTGTGTAACACCACTTAAGTGAGTCTGAAGCATTTAAATCAACTTTATCCATCTCCTTGGCTACACAACAAACGTGTTACCCTGCTGATAAGCAATACTTGCTCCTGAAGATGCCAATGTTCTGCATGCAGCTCTGGCTGTCACTCACTCCAGCAGCAGCCCCTTCCCTTGTAGTTTCTGACAACTAACAAATCTAAAGTTATTTGCACAAAACCTCTGCTTTGCTTCAGCAGATTCTCCCCAGCAAGAATCTGGTCATGGATTACACTCCTTCATGCAGCATGAGCACAGTGACCACAACATTCAGCTCCTTCACAATGATCCTGTCATAACAGTTTTGATGCTACTTACTTTCTTGAAAGTAGCCCCTTAATTACAGAACAGTTTTTCCCTCTAGCTCAAATGGAACATCAAAAATAACTGTTAAAATACTTAAATGGTTCTGCATCAACAGGAACATGCAACAGTGAAGTCATATGAGAAGGTTAAAGCTGATCTTTGTCACATGTGCTCTTAGCAGACACAACAACATCACAAGCAAAGATTCAGCTTGGAGTTTTTTTCAGACATTTGAAACACAGTCTCTATTCATATCTTAAAAACGAAATGCATTGATTACTTTTTGGACATCCAGTGGTTAAACTCCTTTCATTTTAGGATCTGAATCACAATACACAATCCAAATGGCCACAGGCCTTGCTAGACATGAAGTAATTACACGAAGTGATTTCATTTAGGTACTCCAGCTACATACATGATTAAATTACTTCCAGTTTAGGAAATGGCAATCTTCTGCTGAAAGAATACCAGACTTCAATATGTCTACCTGCTTTTTCCCTTCATCAGATCTGAAGTCTGCCCATTCCTAAAAGTTCTTTCCATGCCAATACTGGAAGGTTCTTTTCACATCCAACTTTACAAATCCACACGATGCCTATAAAAGGAATCACATCTTTGTCTCACACACACGTTGGAATATTTCAAACTACCCAACTCAGGAGATCCTGTGATTTACATGCACACTATGTACACATATCACAGATATTCCAATTAGTTAACTAGGATCTGAAAACAACAAAATCAGTAATATAATCAATCACTCTCTTTGCTGTAAGTACATTCAAGTGCTACTAAAGCTTTTTTCAGTATTAGATCAGTAGCTGAAATTAGATTAGTTTTTGGAGTATCATTATTAGTAAGAGACTTCCACTTAAACCTTTTTCCATAGCAAACATTTTGATAAATCTCACCTTCACTGGTAATACTAATTAGAATGCAAATGAAAAATAATCTTCAACTGTCAAACAGTTTGAATCCAGAGACAGTGCTTGGTTTCTCTTCAAGTCACAAAGCCATTGCATTAGCTGCTTTCACAAACTCCTCCCAGTGAGTGCTGCTGCAGCTTCTTTCCGCTTAAGGTAGCACGCAATGAAAGCCTGTAAGTGTGGAATATCTGGAACATGTGCAATTTGTGGAAGAAATCTGTGCTCCTGCTAACCAATGAAGAAAAATAGAACACCTCGGTCCTGTTCCTATAGCACTGCGAGACTGTCTCCTGTGTTTTTTCATTTCCTTTGATCACAGCAGCAACAGAGAGACAGTCATCTGTCTCTCTAACAATACTGTTAGATAAAAAGGAAATAAACTGAATGGAGTCAGACTGTCTTTTGCATTAGGATATAATAAGTATCTACCTGCCAGATGCAAGACAAAGTAAAAACCTGCTGGAAAATTCAGAGCACTCTTAGAAGACAGCACTCCTGTTAGCAGCAGAGAAGGGATGACTCAATTGTAGGGATGCTTCTCAAAGTGCACAGTCCAATGATCTTCATAAATTGGCAGATGGGGACTCATACCATACGCTGAGTTTGAAGGAACCCACAAGGATCGATGTATGCAATTCCCAGGTCCGCCCAGGACCATCCAAAAGCCGAACACTATGACTGAGAGCACTGTGCAAATGCATCTGGCAGCATGGGGCTGTGCCCACTGCCCTGGGCAGCTGGGACTATGGCCAGCCGCCCCTGGTGCAGAACCTTCCCTGCCTCCCACCCAATCCTGCACTGATGCAGCTCCATGCTGTTCCCTCAGGCCCTGTCACTGCACCCACAGAGCACAGCTCAGCACTGCCCTCCACTCCCAATAAGGAGCTGCAGGCCTGGGGTCAGAATGGAGACTGAAAAACCAAATCAAGGAATCACCGTAGCCAAGTTGGGATGGATGAGGCTAAATGTAAATAGGGACAAGCTGTTTATCTCAGTAGGAGGCTGGATACGTAAAAGGGAGGTACCAGGGCACCTGGCAGGGCTTTGGGAAGAGCAGGCCCAGGCCAGGGTGACTGCTGGGAAACACCAACATCAACACCACAGTACCGCAGTGGGCAACAGAGGCTGGGGCTGGTTGGAATTCTCTTCACAGAGAGTGCTTTGGGTTGTGAGAGATCATCTCGCGCCAACCATCCTGCCACAGGCAGGGACACTTCCCACTGCGCTGGCTGCTCCTTGCCCCATCCAGCACAGCTTTAAGCACTACCAGGGATGGGGCATCCACAGCTCCCCTGGCAGCCTGCTCCACTGCCTCGCCACCCCCAGAGGAAACGAGTTCATCCCAACACCCAATCAGTATCCAGTCTCTTTTATTCTAAACTCACAGCCCTATCACTCAGTGATAGGACTCCCATGTCCCATTACTGCCTTCCTGATAAAGAGTCCCCTCTAGCCTTCTGGGGCTGAACAGGTTTCCCTGGAGACTGCCCCAAACCACAGTGCTCTGTATCACAAAATCACGGTGTGTGACACCACTGGGCGATGGATTGTGACCTCACAGCCATCCGCTGCACATACTGGGGCACTGTAGAGTCTGGCCCAGCCGAGCGTGTACTACTGTGTTCTTCTCTTCAGTTATTCTTCGCTTTTCTTTCATCTCTAGTGATTTGAAAACACCTAAAAAACCTTTAAAAATGCGTATCTGGTAGTATTAGTGTATAACAGCAAACAGTCCATCTGACTTTGTGAGGTGCCTCAACAACCTGCAGTGCAGATAGTGAGGAGAAAGCCTAGAAATAGTTTTTCTTTAGAAAGGAAACCCGTGGAGTTGATGTCCCCAGGCGTTCACAGAAAAAAGAACAAGCACTTTCAATGGCTCCACTGTGAAAAGAAAAATATTCATTTTATTTATTCAAAAATTTGAAAACCACAGGCAAAAAGTGTAACATCAAGGCTGACGTTAGACATACAGCAAGTGAACAGGAGACCAGAGTACCACAGTGCCTTGAAACACCTTCAAAGTCCGAAGCAAATACTGCACATGTGTGCCACAAGTGATGCCCACCCTGCCAAAACCTTTTTTTTTATTTTTGTTAAGTCTGTGTTCATGTAACCCTCCACACACACATGCTCCTTTAGTGCATAATACCTGTTTGTTCCGTAATATTTCCTAGCTCTCTTCTCTGAGGCATTTCCAAGTTCGTTTGTTTGGGGTTTCTTGTTTTTGATTTTCACTGATTCCAAACACAAAGCAGACAGGATGGAAGGAGTTAGCACGAACATTTTACATTTTTATGAACAAAGACCTGGATGGAAATGCATTTCAGAAGAGTGAACAAACTATCGTTTCATCATGCTTTTACATTATCTTCTAATCTTCAAATAAAGACTAATGTTCTATTTCGGACATGAGTCGTCTATGAGAAAACCTGGCTTACAAGGAGAGCCCTTCCTTTTCCTGAAACTTCAGAGTTTCAGGTATTACTAAATAGAAAGGCCATCAGCCTAAAGATCATTTTATTAAATAGGATAAACACTGTCAGAAGTACAAATTATATTCTTGGCCAAGTAGTAAAACAGAAGGAAAGACCACAGAGGATATCTTGCTAGTAGTAGAAACAACTGTAATTCTAGAACTACTGAACAGGTATTCCAACTTGGCCCATCTCTTATCAATTACAGTGACTGAACTAAATACATTTAAATGAACTTCCTACAGACATCGGAATATGCACTTTTAATGCAGGTTTGTCTACACTAAATGTGTTACCAAAAAACATAAAACAGACTGTCTAGCAATCAGTGGTTTGTCATGCTACTGATTGTCTGATGCCACTTCAGTAATTTTTCTGCTACCAGCAGTACAAGCACAGTACCCAAACTCAAGCCCAGAACTCTGATGTTTACGAAGACATCTTGCGTCTCACATCTCTCAACAAGCCCTACTAAACAGCAGTAGAACCAGTTCACTTCTCAGATGCCAACACTGAAAGTATAGAAACATTTTAAAAATAAAAATAAACTTTAAAATGCAATTCTTAACATTCCTAATAATTCCTTCACATCATCATTTAGCTTTGTTTTGTGCTTCGTTTTCCTTCATTCATTAAGCATG